TGTAGTAAGACACTCCACGCTGCCTGGTATTTCACTAATTCTAACTGAAATCTGTACATGGATTGACAGATATCACACAACATCTTTTATTCTTGTGGCAGAGGAGATTACAGAGAGATGCATATTTTGCCGTCATTAGTGAGAGCTGCAAGTCTGCAATTCATAGGAGTACCTGTCCTCTGAATGGGTCTAAGGGGTAGATGAGGCGTTGTTATTGACGCTGGGTGCAATGAGAATGTATACAGCAATCTACTGCTTTAGCCACAGTTTATCTGGGATTATTAAACCAGGGTGGGTAAATTTGTGTCGGTGTGATGTATATAGTGAATGATTTTGAATTTCCATCTTTCAATCTGTTGCAATCTTCTTTACTTTCCATTCTTGTTTTTGGCAGCTCATGCCACTGGTGTTATTTTCAATTCAGGTTTAGGCTTTCAGTGCCATTTGTGTCATTGTAGTAAACTGTGGTGGAGAAGGGTCCAGCTGGACTTAAAGTACCAGTCTCATTTTTTTTAAGGCATGAAGGTAATTAATGCATTGAAGTGGATAATTTGTATCACTAACTTGTTTTGGTCAGCTGGATGTCTGACATATGCAGATACCCATTACAGTGTTTAAGAGTATCCAAACCAACTTCAACTCTTTCCCTGGAGGGATGCACCCTGATTACCTCATGCCACAGAGCATTACGCTCAGACTGGTGAGAGCTAATCTTTGGAGTGTGTGTTGGGGGACTGCTGGTTTAACTAGATGCAACCACACAGCTTGCATTGAGTCCTATTGAGTGGAGTCTTGTAGCTTAGTGGTTAGAGCACTCATCTTGCAAGCAAGAGACCTGGGTTCAATTCCTGACAGGGCGAAACGCTGGGCAAGTTTCCTTACTCCATACGCCTCTGTTTACCTAGCAGTAAGTAGGAACCCGGTTGTTAGTCGATTGATGGATCACTTTTCCGGGGTTAATAATACCTTCAAAAAAAATAATAGTTTGATCACTCAATTCACGACTGTTTGTGGGACAGCGCTGGGTGCAATTGGCTGCCAAGTTTCTCCCACAAAATATACAATCAATTCACTTTACAGTATATTCTGTAGCGCTTGAGACGTTTCAAAGACGTGATAAGGCGCTATATCAAATGCAAGGATTATTATTATTAAAGCTCTGTCTGGCAAGCTTCCTGATGCTTGTCCAGCTGGGACTACCATACCTGTTAGAGCTTTGGTTAGCAGGGTTAAAAGAGCCGAGTGGGAAGAATCCTTGCCCCCCAGTCACATTATTGGGGATAGCGGTTGACAGTCACAAAAGCGGGTGACTGGGGGTGGAGAGATACCTGTAAATGCAACAAAACACCTGAGAATAGTCATCTTTTTGCCATTAGAGCTGATATTTGTTATTTTATGTTTTCAGTGTTTCAAATTTATCTTGGAACATTTCAATTATCTAATACTGTACCAAATTTCTTAAATTTTCCTAAGATGATTCTGGGCTGGAATCCAGATCAATTAGTATGTTTTTTCTGATGGATGAAGCAATTTAATTCAATTCTGATGTATGAAGCCAGTTTAGCTGACATGACAAAGTGAGAGTATACTGCATTTTATTTGATCGATTATGTAGGTATTTCACTGGTTGATTGCGTTTCAAAAGTGTGAAAGCTCCATAAATTGGTTTGCTAGAATTGTGAGAAAGTTCTGATATATTCATTGCACAGGTGAAAGAATGTTTACTCAAAATGTGTTTATTCTATGAGCACATTGGTCCAGTGGAAATAAATCCTCCTATGAACACTCAATCATTGTTATATTACAAATCAAACTCATCCTTTATTACATTCCTATATGTAAAATAATTTCTTAGTTGTGAAATAATACTTTCAAAGAAAATAAAATAATATCAAGTGGATTCATCTGAGAAACAGCTTGATGCTGTAATGGAAGGAAGGTAAGATATGTTTCTCTGAAATATTGCCTGGCTCCGCCACTATGTCTCCCCACTGGCTGCTAAGACCTTTGTACACGCCTCGTCCATGCTTGACGATGCAAATGGTCTGCTCGCTGGACTTCCCAGCTCTTCTCTGCACAAGCCTCAGATTATCCAGAACTCTGCAAGCCCCTGTACTTTTCCAAACCAGGCTCTGTGAGCTTATCACCTTCATCCTTGCTCAGCTCTATTGGCTCCCTATCCCACAGAGGATTGAGTTTATGATCCTTATTCTCACTTTTATATCACTCCACAGTCTTACCCCACCCTATCTCTGCAACCTCCTACAACCATTCTGACTTGGCCTCTCTCTTCACTCAATGAGCACTGGCCTGCTTCATTATCTGCTCCAACATTGCAGGAGGGCTGGCTTTCAACTATTCTGCCACCACTCTCTCGAACTCCGTCACTGAGTCCTTCTAACTCACTTGCTTCCTCCCCTCTTTCAAGCCACATCTCAAAACTGCAATTTTGGTCATCTTTCCTTCCTGCCATCGGCTCCAACCCCTAGTCCAGCACTCTTTGGGATATCCTTCCAATGTGAAAGGCACTATGTAAATTGTAATTACTACATTAAGGATATTACTGGGAGGTGTTCAACCAGATATTAGATGGTACCTGCTTAGAATTGGGATAGAGGTAGTGCTTAACCTCATGTAGGTTGTTGGTCCTCCTATAATTCATAATCTGGCAGAGAATTTCAGAACTGTAAATTCAGGCCTCAATATCTACCAGCAAAGCCGGATTGATGAGTTTTAGAAAATCTGCCAGTCAGAGAGAATCATGTTTTCTAACTGATTGGTGCAGCGAATGTTTCAGAATGACTGGTCCCGATTTGTAATGTTTCTGCAAGCAGAGAATAGTGCTTTGAGCAGAGAGCATCAAGAGGTCAAATAATAAACCACGTCCTTCGTGCTAATACCTGTCAGTGGGAACATTTTCAAAATTATACTTGTAATATAATGGAGGGTGGCACTCTTTTCTAATCATTCCCACTCAATTAGTGTATTTATGGTTCAAAGCTTGCTGCTTTATTTTTATTGGGTTGTCACCTTGTTATTTTTTTAAAAATACATGCAAATAGAATGAAAGTCAACCATTCAAAGTGAAATTATTTTTAGGCATTTGGCCAACTTACAATTCAGCAGGTTTTGATTTCAATGTGGAACTTCCTTTATGCTGTCAGAATCTGATATAAATGCCGGTAGTAAAATACATATGCAAACCAGGTCTTCAGGAACAGGTTTTTAGAATATTTTTTGACATAATGGGGATGAAATTTGAAATATTTCATAATTGATTTAATGTAATTATCGATTATACAGTCACAAGTTTATGAAGTATAGAATGCTTTAGAGTTTTAAGAGTTGTGATGAAATTTTTTTATTGAACATCAATGGTGAAGAGTACTTCAGAAAATTCTGATGCTGGCATATATAAATGAGGAAATTAATCCTTTCATGAACCGCTTTACAACAACAAATTGCATTTATACAGAACCTTTAATGATGAGAGTACTTGCCAAGGTGCTGAACAGTTGAGGGTTTGCACCCAAGCTGGAGTTTGGTTGGATTCAGGGAAGGGGTGGGAGAGGCAGACCAGGGGCACGGAAAGATAATCAAAGGCAAGGTTAAAGAGGAAGGTTGAGACAGATTTTGAAGGAGGCGAGGGAATGGGTAAGATGAAGGGACTCCAGGATGGGGGCAGAGAGGCTGAAAACCTACAGCTGGGGCAGGCAGGGCAGGGAACATGAAGCAGGTCAGTGCCTGCCAAGTAGAGGGACTGGGTGGGTTGATAGGATAATTCAAAGTTGCAAAACCATTTACATGTTTATTCAAAGATACTTATTTTCATTCCTTATTTAGGCTTTACATTTTTTATGCTGTACTGGAGAGAAAACTAGAGGATAGATTTACATTGAATGATACAGCACAGAAATAGGCCATTTAACCCAACTACTCCATGCCGCTGTTTAAATTTCAAATGAACGTCCACCCCTCCTATTCCCTTCTTCCTCATCTAGACGTTTTAGCAGATTTTTACTTTCTTATTTTTTTATTACAATACCTTATTCTAAGGCCTATTTATAGAGCACTTTTCAGGATGTCCCAAAGCGCTAAACAGTCAGGTGTTGGGGCCCGAGCATGGGGGAGGGGTGGTTTAGGGGTGAGGGAAGGCAGAGAGGTGGGAGGGCGACCAAAGGCACGATCAAAGAGACAGGTCTTGAGACCAGCCTTGAAGGAGGCAAGGGAGGTAGCGAGGCGAAGGGACCTTGGGATGGAGTTCCAGAGTGTGGGGACAGAGAGGCTGAAAGCCCGGCCACTGATGGTAGGGCGGATTAAAACTACAAAATGTGTTTCTACAAAAGGGCTCTAGCAAAATTAAGAGTTGATAAAACTAATAACAATCCTTGCATTTGCCTTTCATGTTGGGAGAGCACCTCAAAGCATTTCACAGGATTTATTGTGAAAATGTAATGGAAAATACCTGAAGCATTGATACGTTTTGCAATTATCGAGCAGTTCAGAACTCTACCTTCACCAAGTATTACAATGTAAAAACATAAAGAAATGATTGTTTTAAAAGAATTGAAACTTGATCACACAGGATCGTTATATAGGGCATTGAAAAGAGGGTGTGAAATGGTTTGAGAATTCAAATGTCTTAATAGAAAATGCTCCCTTGTGTGTTTCTCTACAGAGTGTTTGATTTATAGTGTGTGGTGAATTAAGCTATTTAAGGCTGAGGAATCCTATGTCTAAAAATTAGTAACTACCGTACCTTTTCACTATTAAGAATAGAACGTTAGCTTATTGGTTGGATTATTTTAGTTTAATTTATTTGAAAAATGAAACTTGTCTCATTTCATTGTAACAAATGGGCCAGCTAGAAGAAATAACAACAAACTTGCCACTTTAAGAATTGTACCATTGTTCGGGATTAACTCTGCTGCAAAACATCTGCTACAACATGATTAAAAGTCACATAAGAGAGTAACATTTGTGTTCTTTTTCTTTTGCAGCCTCGCTTTACATCCAGATAAAAGTTTGGTTGCAACAGGTCAAGTTGGAAAAGATCCTTACATCTGTATTTGGGATACTTACAATACACAGACTGTTTCAATTCTGAAAGACGTTCACACACATGGAGTGGCTTGCTTGGCTTTTGATTCTGATGGGCAGGTATGTATGTAATTTTAAAGTCATTGTCAAATCAGGGCAGTTTATAATCTGGATTCCCCTATTCCTCAAATTACCTTCTCTTTTGAAATCATGTCAAAGGTTCATTAATTGTGACCAGGAATGCAGGCAAATGGGTCTTGAATCCACAATCTTTGACCCAGAGGCAAGATTGCAACCACCTGAACCAAGCTGACCTCTAGTAGAGCCAATAAATGGATCTGAACGAGCATCATGAAAAACGATAATAATAAATAATCCTTGCATTTGATATAGCACATTATCACATCGTTGAAACGTCTCAAAGTGCTTCACAGCATATACTGTAAAGTGAATTCATGTCCTTGTAGCTGTGATTAAGTGTATAGTTTTTAATTAAAGCTACACTAATTACAGAATTTGCATTCCCCCCATTTCTGCCTGTAGAGGCCTAATAATTGCTTTCATGAAAATTCTAAAATGTAATATTCTACTGACAGAAAGTAAGCGCTCTTTAATAGAAACTGCAGCATCCCCATGTGTCCATGGTAATGTGAGTAATTACCTCTGACAATGTGCCTTAATACCCAAACCTCAGAAACCGTGCCCAAATTTTTTTTAAAAAAAAACAAGCTTTTTGGCACAACAGTTTAGAGTAGATTACACAGCCCCAAAAATGAGTAGGACACAAATTTATGGCCTTTCCTCTCTGTGACACCCCCTTCGGTATAGGTAGTGGAAGTATTGTCCCTCTTCAGCACCCTCTCCTGGTAGTGTGTGCGTGGCAGCCAGATAAGCAGAGGTCAGACTCACATGTGAAGCCCTCTACAGAGGAGTGGCCTGCCAATGCTCACCGTTAAGCCTCACACATGATCAGTGACAACATGTAAGGGCAACCAGTGCCTGAGGAACTGCAGCCTAGCAAATGCAGGCTGGGGAGCAAGAGGATGTCAATGTGGGGAAAATTAGGAGGTAAAGCTGTGCACTGATTGGGATTGTTAATTAGTTTGCATTCCGATTCTCCATATTAATAAAAAGTTAAACGCATTACCACAAAATTAATGTTCTGTTGCATCAACTTTCAGCATGGATTGAGGTACCCTGAAATATTTACAGTTTATTATCCCAAACTGTAACATTAAATAAGATATGAAATAATTAGATAGACATAAAGGAAGTGATTTCAAAATAATCTTTGGCTAATTGAATGTTTAGGTGTAGTCTAGTGGGTGCATTCTAGGATAAGAAAATGGTTTTCCTTAATCACAATATGCTTTTCAAAGTCAGTGATGAATCAAGCAGTTGGTGTTGGGTTCTCAGCGTACATTCATGTACTTGTTGTGATTTTGAAGATTGTTATTGCATGAGGCTATGGGACCATTCAAAATTTTGTTTATTGGAATAATTAAACCTATTTTTCTCACAGCGTTTAGCTTCTGTGGGACTGGATGCCAAAAATACAGCCTGTGTGTGGGATTGGAAAAAAGGGAAAGTGTTGGCAACAGCAACTGGTCACTCAGACAGGGTAAGTATTAAAGGCAGCACTTAGCAGTTAGCACTTAGTATATTGCAGAAGAACAAAAATTTTTGCAAACTGGAATTGTAGAATTCTTTGCTTTTTTACAAAAAACTTGTCACAATTGTGAACAATGGCAACGACCTTTAATGGTCAAGTGCTAAGTAAAGTGCAAACCTGAAATTAATTCTTTACAGATCTTTGATATTGCCTGGGATCCATATCAGCCAAACAGACTTGTTAGCTGTGGAGTGAAACATATTAAGGTAAATAAGTCAGATTTATTTTATACTTGTTGAAAATTTGGTTACATATTAAACATGATTTTATTAAAACAAACAAATGATCTATTTCCAAAACTCAGTAACATGGTCAAAATGCATGTGACATTTTAGTTCATATGGAAGTGTACACATTTCCCTTGTTAACTGCCAAGCAAACTCTTAATTAGGATGTGTAAATCTGTCTAATAAATTAACAATGAAGTGGAAATGACAAATGAAAAAGTGGAAAAACCTGAACAAAAAAACTTAGCAGCAGATATAAAGTGCAACTTTGGTAATGAAGTGTACAGTTGGAATAAGTGGTAATACTTCATGCAATTTATGATACAATTCTTAAACCTCTCCAGTTGTACTTTACACAGAATTTTCAATGATTGAGAAATCTGGAGGACAAACTTAAATTCATCAAATATTTCAACATTTCGGCAGATGCCTTCTACACATAGAACACTTGTATTCTTCCTGGTTACCTGTATGTTATTGTAAAGACAGATTGACAGGTTTATGTGTTTCTGTTCCTAATGGCTTTGAAATACATTTATGATATACGATTGCTAAATGTAAAGGACAAACATTGAACATCTGAATAACTGCTGGTTACAGTTACTGATTTGCATAGAAAATATGTCACAGCCTGCTTTGGTCCTTTTTATTTTTTGTAATGTAAAATATGGTAACTATGTATAAAACCACATCTTGCTTTAGCCCATTCTATAGTATATAAATGTAGGTTACTTGTTTAAATTGAATGAGAAGTGTATTCCTTTATATGAAAAATGCTAAGAAAAGTTAAATTAAAGAAAGTTCTCAAATGTAATGGCTGTTGTAACAAACTTATAATATTGATTCTTTTTTCAAAGTTTGAGTGAACCACAAATAACATATATTTCTCTTTCATTATGCAGTTCTGGGCATTATGTGGGAATGCACTGACACCCAAAAGGGGCATCTTTGGTAAAACTGGTGACCTTCAAACTATTCTTTGTTTGGCATGTGCTAAAGATGAGAGCACATACTCTGGTGCATTAAATGGAGATATTTATGTTTGGAAAGGGCTAACCCTGATCCGCACAATTCAAGGAGCTCATGGAGTAAGTAAAATAAATAATGGTATGGTACTGATTATGTTCTTTTATGAATCTGGTATTGTTGTACTTTATCAATTGAATAGAACTCCACCTAATACAACCGGTTCGGAACACTGGTGTCTTATTTCACCCCCAACTGAACTTCAAACCTTTCACATCTGGACTCTCACTTGCTCAGCCTTTTCCTCACCTTTGCCATCTACAGCATCAGCCATCTCTGCCACTACCTCTCCCTCGAGGCTGCCAAGACTCTCATTCACGCCTTCAATAGGTCACGATTATGCAAATACCCTGCTCGCCAGACTCACTCCCCAGCTATATAAATGTAAATAGTTCTTTACTGTATTTATCACAAAAACAGTTGATCATTCAAATCTTACTGAATATCCAGTGTTAGCATTCAAATGATTTGTTAGCTTTCAAATATGATTTAAATTCTCCAAATTTCTCTCCTTGCCTTCTTGTCCATCCATGAAGCTATGAGATTGTACTTGCCGCTTAATGTAGGAACAGCTGCTGGAGATGAGTACACAAGAGCAAAGAAGGAATTAGGTTGTCTAATGCTGTAATGTGTTAACAGAAGCCATGTTGTATGCTGACATTTTACGACAACACCAAATGTTAAATGAAATACATTTTCCGTTGATAAACAAGCATCAGAGATTATTGGTGTCCCATTTAAAACACCATACCATAAAGTAATTATATTAATTTTTTAAAATTCTGTCATGAATCCTGAGGCAGGTATAACTTGCATTACTATACTTTATCAGGTGTGAAATAATTATTATTTATGAAATACCCAAGTAGTAGTTTTCTCATTTTAGTCATGCTTTGTCAAATAGGATACATTTGGCATCCATCAATATGTTTCTGAATATACAAAACCAATTTTAATACCTTCAATCTAGGTCTAATGATAGGTTAAAAACTTATATTTTGCCCAAGAGTGCCTGGATTTCACCCCTCTCAGAAAATTAACCCTAAAAACTAAATCTTAAACAGAAAAACTACTCTAGGGGTTACAAGTTATAAAACAAACTTGCCTCATTTCAAATTTTAAAAAAAACTGGGTACTGGATTTGAAGAGTCCCCACGAGTGGTGTGCTGCCACCTAAGGTCTATTTAGCGTTGAACTCTAAAGTACCACTAATTCTGTCATATTAATGTGATGGTGATGATTATTACCGGTGTTAATGCACGTAATGATTATTTATAAAATAAACTATTTGTTAATTAGACATAACTATTACATTTTCATTGTTAATTCAACCTATAGCTATTGAATTCATTAATTAAAACTGTTTCAGTTGGTAAGTATAGATTCTTTTGCAAATAATCTAAAGGAAAAAATAAATGGTGAAAATCTGAATTAAAAATAGAATTGTTGGACACCATTTTACACAATATCATACACAAAATAAACAGCAAATTCATCATCGTTATAATTATAAATATTATGGATCTTCTAAATATCATTACTTGCCAAAATCCTTTTTTTACATTTCTGTGCTTCAGAACATGATCCTCTAACAACAAAATGCTTTGTAAAATATGCAGATTGTTGATCAGTTGTGTTTGTGCACAGCACAAAAGAAAATCTTCCAGTTAACAAAAACTAAAACAATTGAGTTTCAAATTTGATTTTTAATATGTAGACTTTTTCAGTGTCAGGTTTGTGGGGTATTGGAGCTTAAAATACCATTTCTTAGGAAATCTATTCAGTTTAACGTTTCATATCTGTAGGCAGGTATATTCAGCATGTATGCCTGCGAAGAAGGTTTTGCTACTGGTGGGAGAGATGGTTGCATCCGACTATGGGACACTGACTTCAAGTCAATCACAAAAATTGATCTTCGAGAGACTGAACAAGGTTACAAAGGTACTGTATGTTGACTGTTATCCAAAACGTACATTGGTCTAAATGTATAACTTATAATTCATTATGTATGCTGCAGGTTTAGATACCCAGGGCCCCATTACTGAGGTTTTGGAAGTTTTTACGTTTCATGTTTATCAGAAAATAGTGTACTTGGCCATAATGTTCAGTTTTTCAGTATTAACTGTTTGTGTTTTCCGAAATAGGTTTAGTTCAATGGTAAATATACTACTAAGGTACTGAAAACTCCACTTATGAGGGTGATCTACTGATTTAGGCAAGGTGCCCATGTTTCAGTATGACTAAACATTTACACTCTCTGTGCTGGGAATCACAATTAGATTATTATTTAATACAGAGCTGAAGTCTCTAACTGGAGCTAAAAATGGATTCCTGTGATTATATTCACATGGAACATGTAAGAAGTGCAGAAGTACAAAGTAATTAGACACGATGAAGGAGAGTCAGAATCGGGTAATACAGATTCTGGAAAAGGGAATACAGGTCAGACCTCAATTTCCTAGCAAAGCTCAATTACTGTTATCTGGACTCCAGGAGGAGATTATTTTCTTATTTTGCTTACTTAAAATATACACTATAGACCTTGTAGGTCCCAGTTTTTTCCAGTTTTGTTCTGTGTATTTTACTGGTGCTTGTTTTTTGGCTCATGACTGACAACACGAAACAGCCTGGTTCACTTATTTGATACAATATGATGCAATCACAAGTTTAATAAATGATATCCTGCAGCACATTGCCAGAAAACAATATATTCTCTATTTTCTATATAGCGTATATTCTGAGTTTAAAATCTAATTTTGTAGCAAAATGGATTCTGATTATTTAAATTGTATGTACTATACTGAGAGAGATTATTTTGTTGACAGCTAAGGGCTATAACAGTGAACTATTTTACTGGTAATTGCAGAAGTGACTGAGAGTGTTTTGCCCGAAGCAAGAAATTACACATTCAAGGTCACCGCCACAACACAACTCTGCAGGCAATATTTGATTTACTATATCCTTGCACTAAATTTACTTTTTAAACCAGAAAAAAAGTTGATGCTTTGTGCTGACTGCAATCTTCACTTTATGGTAATTAGATTTGCTACTGTTATCCACTGACATAATTTATTGAAGAATAGTGATCGCTCGCATTGAAGTATTTTAGCCCAGAGTTCCAATAAACTGTTTTATTCCCAGTTTCTGAAATATAAAACTGTAGAACTATTAAATGTAGCAGTTCAGAGTTCATATTTTACAAAAAAAAACTTTACATGGTACTTCAGAAGGTGATGCCCAGCTTTCCTACCGAAAATCGTTTCAGATTTCCACTTAAAACAAGAAAATATGAATCACTCCTTTTTGCTCACACCCTCGTACATCAGATCTGGATTTGTATTTCCACTGTGTGGATGCTTATTGGGTGATGATATATTAATCCCATAGAACAAAATGAATCTGACAAATATATCCAGTTATTCATTACTATGGTTCCAAAGGTACTGTGCGTCATAAAGAACCAGTGTCCAAACAAAGAATTGTTCTATCTGACGGAAAGCTTACGGCTTAAGCGAGGATCGATTTGGACATTCTTATGCAATGTTTCCATCAACGACATCCACAACACTACTGTTTGAAATACTGCACATTCTTGTGCAAACATTATTAGTACCTGGTTGGTACTACCTTTAGTGCATCTCACCCTCTCTGCTCTTCATCCTACAATAGACTCCAGCAGTTTGTGCAAGATGCAGAATGAAGAAAGAGCAATTACAGGACATCCAAAACAATCACTTGTGTCTTTGTTTTTCTCCCCAAAGGTTTGTCTATCAGAAGTGTTTGTTGGAAGGCTGACCGTATTCTAGCAGGAACCCAGGACAGTGAAATATTTGAAGTTATGGTTCGAGAGCGAGATAAACCTCTCCTGATAATGCAGGGCCACTGTGAAGGGGAGCTCTGGGGCTTAGCGGTCCATCCCAAGAAACCATTGGTGGTCACAGGCAGTGATGATCGATCAGTACGGTCAGTACTGTTTAATAGTTTATCCAAAATTAAGATGCATAATTATTTAATCTTTATTCCAAGGCTTGCTTTGCCTTCCATAATGTCAATTTGATCTGTTGGAGCAACACTCCAAGACAATATCCTGTGTCAAGGGTGCTATATAAATGCAAGTTGTTGTTGTACTAAAAGTATTAGTAACATACACAGAAAGTTTTGCAGCATATTTTGTTTACAAGTTATTCCAATTACAAGCAAAATTATATCAGATGTCCATTAATTTATTTTACTGGTAAAATAACAAAGATCATAATAAACACCCACGGCACAATTTATTTTAGGTTATCTTCTCACTTTCAGGTATTATTTTCTGGTGTCATGTTACTCATCAGATTTCAGGATTATTCATTTAAGTTTTCCTTTTAACCCAATGTCTTTTGTGCTTCTAAATGGATTAAAATGGATCATCAGATATTTGAAGGCTATTACACTGTTACTGTAATGTTACATGTCTTATTTCACAGGTGCTAAAGACCTATAATGAATTTACTATTTATTTTGTAGGTAAATTGTACTTACAAATAAACAGTAAATTATCCATGCAAAAATTGGAAATATTTTAAATTCTTCTTGGCATCCTCTGCAAACAGATGGGTTTGCTGGGACAAACCCATGTGGGGATTTGTGTGATAAGGAAGGCTTAATAGATTGCAAGGAGATTTGGAATTTTACCGGTCATGCGGTTTCTTTTACATGGTACGATATGCGGTAGAGACTGTGAGTAATAGTAATATTACTATCCTTGCATTTGATATAGCGCCTTATCAAGTCTTTGAGATGTTTCAAAACGCTTCACAGAATATACTGTAAAGTGAATCGACTGTATATTTTGTGGTGAAACACAGCAGTCAATTGCGCACAGCAGTGTCCCACAAACAGTCGTGGATTGAGTGACCAATTTATTATTTTTTTGAAGGAATTGTTTCCCCCAGGAAAGCGATCCGCCAATCGACTAACAACCGGGTTCCTACTTTACTGCTAGTTAAACAGAGGCAAGTAGAATGGGGAAACTTGCTCAATGTTTCGCCCTTCCTGGAATCAAACCCAGGCTACTCGCTTGCGAGGCGAGTGCTCTAACCACTGAGCTACAAAATATTTGATACATTTGATTTTTTGATTGTGTATTTGTTTGTGGGTTTATTTGCTGACGCAAAACAATGGATCCAGGAACTCACTTGTGTAATGTTTACAAATTGTACATAGGTTACTGTCCTCATTTTCCAAGACCGCAGCTTAAGAACTATATCACTATGAGCCTTTGTTCCATTGTTCAGGTATGAAAAGAAAAACTTGGAAGTGCTGGAATTCTAAAATGAAAACAATATAAATAAATGTCTAACAGGCATACTAATTGGGCTAAATGATCTGTTTCCGTTTCGTAACATTCTATGTAGGCCGGTCGACATCTGAAAGAGAACGATAGTTTAACATTTTGGGTATGTCTGTTAATCTGGAGTTCAAATTGGCAAACTAAAAGCATCCAATGCAGATTTTGAAGTTTTTTTTGTATAAAAAAAATTCAAACCACTAACTTGTGTGCTGGTGAGTCATTAACTGATTCTGGTTTTGTGAAAAGTAATGGTTCTAAATTGGTCCACTGTTTTTTTGTGTGTGAGAGATTGGGGAGGGGGAACGGAGGAGAGGAGAGGGACAACATTGCATTTGCAGTGTTAGACCTGACATTATATTTAGTGCTGCTAACCCACATTCTTCTGCCTGTTCCCAATGAACATCATAATTGGCATTTTATACTGAATTTCTAAGTTGGTTAAGAAAAATCTGCTGTAGCAGATAGGAGTTATTTCTTTTTTAATGCTCATCTCATGACTAAATTGATGCCTATTAAATGCTACATTTTAAATTATTTTAAAATGTATTTGATATGACTTTGTAAATGGTGATTATAGTTCAGAATTAATTTGCCTTTAAAGATATAGTGTTTATCATATTTATTAAAAAATTTATAAGCAATGACTGAGAATTTTGTTAAATAATTCACTATCAGTACTTGCTGACAATTGAGCCTGTATAAGTACTAATTATGGAGTTTCTGCCAGCTTTTTCCCAGTGAATACTTACAACCAGAATATATACTTAAAAATGTTATAAGAATTGGTGGTTACCATAGAAACTATTTTCCTACAGAATAGGCCATTGGTCAATGTTCTGTGCATAGAATTGCCAGTCACACAGGAGCAGTATACCTTTACCACAAAATATTGTTTTACTGCATCAACTCTTCACAAACTAGCTTGTGTGTCAACTAAGACTGTAAGTTTAAAGTCCCAACATGGAGCTTGAACCCACAATCTTCTGACTCACGTAGATCAGCATGCTGTCAACTGAGCCAGGCTGATACACAATGAGTTACTATGAAAATAGTTTTTATGTAGGCAAAACTATTTGTTGTTGTGAATGTTGAGTATTGGCGGGAGAGCCTTCAGCCACTCTGCCCCCAACCTCTGGAATTCCATCTCCCAATCACTCCGCCTCGCCCCCTCCTTAGCCTCCTTCACTTCCCCTCCCCGCCCTTCTCCCTCCCTGACCCCAGCTCGGGTCTGAAATACTGTACACTGTCTAGTGCCTTGGGACGTCCTCCCAACGTGAAAGGCGCTATACAAATGTAATGTTGTTGAGTAACATGGTGGTTGGGAATCCTTAACAACAACAACTGGGATTTATATAGCGCCCTCCACGCCGGACTGCGTCTCGGAGTGCTTCACAGTAACGGATCCTGGGGCCGAGGGAGGGGGAGGAAGATGACCAAAGGTGCAGTCAAACAGAAAGGTCTTCAGCCAAGACTTGAAAATAGGAAGAGTGGGGGCGAGGCAAAGGGAGTGAGGAAGGGAGTTCCAGAGCCTCGGGACATAGTGGCTGAAAGCACAGCCGCCGATGGTGGAGCGGAAGATTTGGGGTCAAGGAGATGGCCAGACTGTTGGAGTGAAGGCAACGGGCACTGTTGTGAGGAGGTCAGAGAGGTAGAAGGGTGCAGAGGAGTGGAGGGATTTAACAAGGCAGGGAGCAAACTGACCAGCATCAAACATGCAGAGTGAAACGCAACCAACCATCACGTTATAATAAGGCTCAGTTGCACTAGTTACAAGTAATTATATTGCCAGATGCGTCATACTCTTAACCCAACAAACGTGGATAAAATACCTCTGCATGTACTTGTAATGCATTGTTCACAGGATTGATCCCTGAATGTCTCACACAGCATCGCTTCACTTTATTACTTCAGAATCACCCGCATCAGATGCCAGTATAGTTTCAAAATAGCTGGTCATTCCAGCTTTCTTCTGTGCCTCAAACTCAAGATAGTATTTACGGATGACCAAGACAGCAGACCAAACAAAATGTAGTTCTAGGGTTGCGAAGGGCAATTTCAGTACAGACATCAGAACGTTTTTCTTTACCTACAGGTAAGTTAATTAACAACTGGAACAAGTTACCAAGAAGACCAACATGCTTGATGCATTTGAAAAACAGCTTGATGCTGTGATAGAAAGACAGTTGGGTTGATATTCTGAAAGAATGAGATCAAATGCTTTGAAAGCCTGAAGTATCCTCTCTCTGCCAGGTGCAAAATGAGTTTTGGGGAGGCTGAACCCGATTCCTTGTAATCCAATCAACTCGCAATACTTTTAATTCAGAAGATAATTCAACATTAAATGTAACACACTCTGAGAAATCATGAGGCAGTCTAGTATGAAGTCGAAAGGCTCACGCAGATATAAATAAGATGCTGAACATCAGAAACTGGACAGGGGAGAGGGAGTTTTGCTCAATATCGTATCTTTCCAGGCCTGACAAGAGAACACTCGGTGCTCATATTGAACACCTAGCACTGACATATCTGTCCTCCTGATAATTATAATATTCACAGAAAAATTTAAAATCTCATTGCAGAGTTTGGATAGCCTCATAAATCAGAAGAGGGAAGCTGTGCCATTTTATCTCCTGAGATTTTCTGTTGATTTATCACCCTCATTTATCCATTACTTTTCATAAGATGAATATAGTAGTGTTAACCTTTTCAGCAGAAAATTTCAAATGGGAATCTTGACAATTAAGATGCAGCATCATTTGATATGTAATGACACCTTGAATGAAAAATTATAATTATGATGCAAGAACTGAAAGGATATTGAGCCTAATCTGAAGTGGATTACTAGGAAATGCACTGAAATCACGAGGCAAAAATAAATTCAGTGAGTAAAATTAGAAGAAGACAAAGAATGGGGGAGAAAAACTCAAAAGGAAATAAATTAGACAGTGATCCATTGGTAAGCACAAGTAGGTCAGGCTATTTGACAAGTTGAAAAATGCAAAAACTAAGCGAGACAAGTCAAACATTTTTTTGGAGGGATGATGGGGAGTTTGTGTGCAGATGGAATGAATACAGGTACCAACATATTCCAAATTTAAGATAATAAAAAGGAAATTAATACCAAAAATCCAGAAATACAAACAAATTCATATCTTTTCAGTTATATTGATTGAGACATGTTGTTATCGTTCTACAATTTATAGAATTCCATAGGGTGATAAGGCATGGAAATGGATCATTTGGCCAACCAATTAATAGCCAGCCGTGTTTTGACATCTCCCTAATGTATGTATGAAGTCTACTCTTAAATTGCATTGATGCTTTTTGCTTCAATCACAGTTACCAGCAGTGAGTTGAACATTCTGCGTGAAGAAGTTCCACCTAAACACCCTACTAGATCTGTTATTAACCATTTATCCATTTACCTTTATCTACCTCTACCCCATAGGCAGATATTAACATAATTCAAGAAAGAATGTGCGAAGTGTAGCTAAGGGAAAGGGAAAATTCAATGAAGTTGTTATTTACATTACTTACATTTCTTTACATTACTTTGTAGTAAGTAGAGTCCTGTAGCTTAGTGGTTAGACCACTCGCCTCACAAGCGAGAGACCTGGCTTTGATTCACAGCAGGTCAAGTTTTCTTACTCCACATGCCTCTGTTTACCTAGCAGTAAGTAGGAACCCGGTTGTTAGCGATTTGTGGATTGCTTTTCCGGGGGTAATACTTTTTTGAAAAAATAATAAATTGGTCACTCAATCTACGACTGTTTGTGGGACGCTGCTGTGCGCAATTGGCTGCTGCATTTCGTTCACAAAATATACAGTCAATTCACTTTATAGTATATTTTGTGAAGCGCTTTGAGACATCTCGAAGACGTGATAAGGCGCTATATCAAATGCAAGGATTATTATGTCCAGAAATTGCTCTTGGATTTAGATTGCAAAGGTGTGTCAAAATATTTTTCTGCTTAAATCTAACTGTCAAACAGATAGCATTCTTTATTCTACTTTCGCAGACCATCTCACTGTGCGTTATGGAGCTGGTGATAGTTTCAGTTGAAAAAAAGCTGACACCATCTGGCTGGGAATTATTGCTTGAGATTTTCTTAGCCTAATCTCCTGTGATTAATGTATTTTCCTGAAGTGTATGAGTACTCTGCTCATTTAGGGTTTCCATCTTTGAACGTTTTTGCAAGGGTTGAATGTATTCAACAGTGGCAATTACCGTTCAATCCATCTGCTTATGAAGAACCATTCTGGCGAAATAACGTCATGGGTTTCCATTGTTAAAACATACAAGCATTTTGTATTCTCTCTACTGTAACTGTTATACCATCTGAATTTTATTTGTCAATGGTGCCCACAGCAAAGTGCTGTTTTTGCAATGCAATGTAAATCCCTTATCAATCTGAAACACTCTGTCCAAGAAAATGGACTTTTTTATTATAGCATCAATTAGTATTTTAGTTCTAAATGTTTTAATTTTATTAATCTACAAAGTGGGCATTTAATACTCTTCTGCTTTATGCCCTCTTCGGGTTGGATTTGGATTATGGGATCACTGCATCGCAGTAATTCTGGATAACTGAAAGTAGTGTGGCAATTGTCAAATTACTTGTCGAAGTAGATGGAGAATGTGGCAGTATTCCCAGAACTAATAGCACTTGCATTCAGAATTCTGATTCAATAAGGTCATTGTGTGCAGAAAATCTATGGATATTCTGATAGTTGAGGGTACAGTGAGGAAATTGCATTAGCAGATCAATAGCAGACTGTAAAATTAGGGAGGCTAGAAACAAAGAGAAAGAACCATTAAAGCCATTTTATTTATTCTCAAGATAAAAATCTGATTGTTTTTTATACCTTTTTATCAAGGTTTGTGTTTGGTGAAAAAAATAAAAATGGGGAGAAATTGCTGGGGAGGTGGAGGACATCAAATTCAAGAAAACAATACTAACAGAACAAATTGGTCTCTTACCCTCACACATGCACTAATTTGGTCATTGGAGGGAACTTTAATTTCTTATTATCCTAGAGTAAAATGCCCATATTAATCCAAACACCATCCAAATCGAAAATCCCTGTAGCAGTACAAATGAGCTAGTAATAACCATATTCACTGTCATTGAGAGATGAGCTCAGTTAGCATTGAAATACAGTATTTACACACGGTGCCTGATATGCCTAAAATAGCCAGACAACAACTACTTGGATTTATATACAGGGTTGTGTCCCAGAGTGCTTACCCTAACAGCATGCCCTAACAAATATTTCATTATACATATGTTTAATTATCTTTGTACTTTCTGAAGAATTTTTAGATCAGTATTAGAATGTTAATAACAAATTTATATTCAGTCTATTAGTATTTCTTTTATCTTATGAACATGTGAAAACTAAGATAAATGTTAAGATATCTGAACTGGTGCTAACTTGTCTGGCTGCTACAGTGAATCTTTTATTGCAGATGCCTCACAAAAATACAAAGACTTATTATCTTCAGATTTTCAAAAATGCTTAGCAAATTTTAAAAAAAAGCTTTTCAGAAAAAAGGCTTGATAATAAAAATCCTTGCATTTGATATAACGCTTTTCACATCTTCCAGACGTCTCAAAGCACTTCATAGAATATACTGTAAAGTGAATTGACTGCATATTTGTGGGCAAAATGATCTTTAATGATTTTTATGACTCGATCTTTAATGTTGAATTTTCATTCAGTTTGTGGAGCCTTGTTGACCATGCACTTATTGCACGCTGCAATATGGAAGAGGCAGTACGATGTGTTACTTTCAGTAGTGATGGATCACAACTCGCTCTTGGAATGAAGGATGGTTCATTTACCGTACTCCGCGTCAGGTAAGGGAAATTCATTTGTTAATCCCTGGAAAAACTTTTCAGTTTCTTCCAGAATTTTAAATTTAAATCTGTAGTATTGGTGCAGAGGTGTGTAGAAGACATCTCAGTTTCAATATCCAGACAGTAGGAGTGATTGTATGTGTATAGATATATATGTGTGTGTGTGTGTATTCCCTTGCATTTGATACAGCACCTTATCACGTCTTTGAGTCTCAAAGTGCTTCACAGAATATACTGTAAAGTGAATTGACTGTATATTTTGTGGGTGAAACGAGTACTACTCACTGCATGTAAAATCTCATTGAATGCCTAGAATGGGAAATCCTATAATAAACAAACAACAACTAATTCAACAAAACTGGTAAAGAACACATAATAATCCCCAATGTGGTGGAAAAATTTAAAAAGCTAGTGAAAAAAGCAAGCACAATAATAAAATTTAAGTTTGCCGAAATTATGCTAAAGATATAAGAAGAAAGTGTTTGAAATTCCAATTGTGAGAGAAAAATGGGTTAATTCAACAGAACTAGAAATATCACTGGTTTTGGCCAGGTCAGTAAATTATTATTCCAATAAAGCTGTAATGTTAACATAAAAAGACAAATTCACTAACTTCTATGTCCAAATTTCTCACTATGTTGTTAGGCATCACATTTCTATGCTAAATTCATTATGCTGTAAGATATTCAGTAGAGTTAATGAAGCATTCAGTAGTGAACCTATTTATATTCATATAAAATGGGTTTTTAATATCTTCATTCCCAGTGCATTGTTCACTGAAGTAGAGACAATCAGAGACAATCAGAAATATAATTGAGTGCCACTTAGATTATTTCACAATGAGGGACAGTTATGGATGTTATAGTCTTGCTTCTATTGTGGAGAGAGAGGTATTCCTCAGGATTTACAAACATTCAGTTCTGTATATTTAGGATGTCCAAGTTGTTTTCTGAGATTATAACTTGTACAGAATTCAGTAAGAAAGTTATGTAAATGTACATTAGAAATTGCAGGAAGATTTGGAACACCAGGCTTGCACCAATTTTGCAGCAAAATTAAATGGATTCTCTTAATGCTAGCAATGAGCAATCATTGAAATTAATATCTCAGGACACCTCAGATTAATTTCTCAAATCGCAGCTACTTTTCTCATGTTGACACAATTTGTGCAAATAAGACATTGAGAAGCAGAATGTCTTATTTGCACGAATAGTGAGGCATTCATATCGGTGCTGTTTTTCAAAGTATCATGAAAAGTACATTTCTGTTCAAACTGCCCATGTAACAGGATTTCTTTTTATTCTGTGGGATGCTAAGAGTTTCCTTTTTAGCACCAGTCACTCCTTTGACATTTCTAATTCTGGATTAGCAAGAGATGTATAGAAAAAGAATAACTGGCAAAACGTAGAGATTATAAATGTGACCTCAACCCTATAAACCCTACCTGGCTGGTGTACTATTTGGTGGTCCTATACAAATTACCAACACCAAAACTTGAGTTATCCTCCCAAGCGGCATAAATTGTTGTATTCCATGCGTAGACTGTGAGCATGGTTTATTATGTGCTTCTCATCGAATCTCTGCTTAACAGACAAAACTGATTTATTATGGCATTACTGAACAGTCATCAATAAAATATGCTGGATGTAAATTCTTTCAGTCTGCAGTTTATTAACCAGTCATTTGGAATTCAATAATTACATTGTTTATCTCCCTTATTTTAAAATAGTAACCAAGCAACCCAAGGAATTACGCACTGGGTTTTTATTTGGAGGCAGAAATAGCACTACAATTTTCAAGGGTAAATATGTTTTGTTAATTTGTTATTGTATCGTTTCCAGGGATATGACAGAAGTGGTCCACATTAAAGACCGAAAGGAAGTAATACATGAGATGAAATTTTCTCCGGATGGTTCATACCTTGCTGTTGGTTCAAATGATAGTGTAGTTGACATCTATGCAGTTGCACAGCGATATAAGAAGGTTGGAGAATGCAACAAGTCGTTGAGCTTTATTACACACATTGACTGGGCCATTGATAGCAAATACTTACAGGTCAATGATGGTGCTGGAGAAAGGCTGTTCTACAAGATGCCGTGTAAGTACTGATCTTGGTTTCATCTATTGGTTTTACAGTCCCAGTGTATGGTTACTTTAGTTGTTCTTGTTATCAATTCAGTACTTAAAACAAAGTGAGATTTTCAGTGCAAATTCAACAACACACTGGTAGTTATACATTTATTATTAACACTGGGCTCAGCTGTAACCACTCCCATGATCTCAGAGTCTGCTGATCACAAATCAATAATGGCAACTTTGCAAGTTACTGGAAAACGACTGACATCTTGAATCATACATCAGTAGAAGGAAAAAGGGTTCAAATATCTTTGGAAAGATGGGAAAATATGTGCGAGGTGGGGGGGGCATAAAGAAATAATTAAATCAGAGACACTTAATGTTTACATTGTCCTTTATTTATGTAATAAATGTATTTTTAAGCTGGAAAACATTTGACAAATAAAGATGAAATAAAAGGAATTCATTGGGCTACGTGGACTTGTGTAATTGGACCTGAAGCAAGTGGAGTTTGGCCTAAGTACACTGACATCATGGATATCAATTCTGTGGATGCAAACTACGCCAGTGCTGCGCTTGTGTCTGGAGATGACTTTGGATTGGTCAAGCTCTTTAGGTTTCCCTGTTTAAAAAAGGGTAAGAAACCCATTTTCTTAATTGCTAGCCTCAATAATCACTATCATGCTTCATGTGCCCTGTCCTATCCACACCCCCTGTTGACACACAGGCCATTGTACCCCACTCTCTGGATCTCCTTCGTGGAATCCCTCCAACTCTCTCCCTCCCTCCCCTCATTCAAGGCACATCTTCGAATGCACCTTAAGTTGTCTTTCCTCTTCCCACATCGCTCAGCTGTCACCGCAGCTCGGGACCCATTCAGCATTGTCATGTACTTTGAGATTCTCATGCGCTTTGAGATGTCTTCCTGATGTGAAAGCTACTATGCGAATTTAAACTATTATGTTCTCACTGTCAAAAAAGTATATGATAAACTTTATCATAGCTGTTTCCAGAGACTGTTTCACTTGGGTTTTCTCTCTCCTCATGATAACTACCTATTTCATCGAAACTTGTGCATACATTGCAGTGCCAACACATGTTGTTATTTAACCTTGAAAGAGTTCACTTTGCCCCATGGCTAATAACAGCCTAATTTGGAATGACAGCAAAAAAGCAAAATTCTACAATCCATCATACAGTGTGGCTATGGTGCATGTTTCTTTGTAATTACAGTGTGGACCGCATTCACATTGATGCACTAAACTGGCTCACTTCCCACCCGCTCACAAACTAAAATAGTAATTGTTGGGTCATTAGGTTGCCTTTGACAATTTCCTGCAAGTTAAGCATATGCACCACATAAGAAGTGGCGTAGACGGAGGTTTGATGATCCAGAGATTGACCATTTTAACTTTCCGTGGGCTAAAAAAAGGTTCCTTTTATGAAATGGGCTTTATAATCTGCTTTAGCTATCATGCTCTCTTGCACACAATCCTGTTCATCATGCCTAACTATATATACAATATTCTAACTGTATTTTTTGTGTAACTGGTGTTACCGTTATTTCATTTCCTACTTTCAGGAGCAAAATTCCGTAAATATGTTGGTCATTCTGCTCATGTAACTAATGTGCGCTGGTCACATGACTTTCAATGGACAGTGAGTACAGGCGGCGCTGATCATTCTGTGTTTCAGTGGAGATTTATTCCTGAAGGAGTAACAAATGGAGGAATTGAAACCGTGCAAGGTAAGAAAGACCATGGCACAGAGCTTAAGAAGCCCCCCTCTCCGGAGACACCCCCATCCCAAAAGGCAATTTTATACATTCATTTTCTCAACTCCAAAGAGTGAAAATTTGAATAGGTTTGATCCCAGAATCTTCTAGATCCACCTTCTGTGCGCAACCAACTCAGGTATCAGTTGTGACTGCAATTAGAGGAAAGAAAACCATAAGTGAGAGAGAAAAAGTGAGCAAAGGACACGGGCCCCATTGAAAATGGCAGCTTATTAAACTCCGATACAGGGCTTTAAAACTAGCCTATCTGTTGAAGTAGGTGATTCACTTATACTCAGCTACTATATCTCAGAAACTACACTAGTATATGTATAGCATTCTTTTAAAGGCTGTAGAAAGTGGAAATAATTTCACAATCAAGTGGATATTCAGAAAATAATTTTATAATGATTTCAATCTTCTGCAATTTGGAATTCTATGTGGCGAGATGTTTGTAATTATGCATGGCTGTATTTGAAAAGGGAAGGGCATTTCCCTTGGCATCCGAGGCCAGCAATCCTCCAGATAAAATTGGTCATTCACTTCATGGCTGTTTGTGGGATATTGCAGTACACAAATTGGCTAGCCCATTAGCCTAGAAAGACACTGACACTACACTTTATAGTAAAATTCCATGAAGAACCGTAATATGTTTCGACAATGTGAATTGATAAAACTCTGCTGACAGACTTCTCATCGTTCCCTCTTTTTGAAATAAATTCTCCTGTCTTTTAATTACTCACATCTATTTCTGGATTGAGAGGATTAGTTGTTAATTTGAGCCCAGGTTTGTCAAATTGAAACCTGCTGGTAGGATTGCTGGAGAACAACCCGGAATAATTTAGCTTTCTATTTATTGCCCCCTTGTTTTTTGAACACATCATGCCTTTCTTGACATTCCCCTGTGATGAACCAGCTGAGATTGAAAATGTTATTGAAACATACCTATAAATCTCTTTCACAACACTCAGTATTTTAGTATTGAGACACCAGGACATTGTGCCTCTGTACTGACTTGGTATAAATTGTTTTCAGATTATAAGGAGTCAGGTTAATTTGGTGATAAAGGGTGACATTGTGTTTAATTAATAACTTATTTATTTGAAATGGAGCATATATAACAGATCCAAATAAAATCTTTCCACTCTAATAGTTTATCTGAAAATATGGTAAAATTGTAACATCATACTATGACTGTTCTGTTTTTTTTCTCTATTGCTTCAAACAGAAGGCTGTGGTGATTCTAATAGTGAGGAATCGGATTCAGATCTATCGGATGTGCCAGAATTAGACTCTGACATTGAACAGGAAGCCCAAATCAGCTACGACCGTCAGGTTAGTCACTTCAGTGGTTGTCTTCAAATATATATATATTGTAAGTTTGCACTCACCAATAGGAAGACCTTGAACACTTCTCAGAGAAATATATCCTTGCAGGTAGAATTCTCCTCATCAACATCTCTCGTCCTCAGCAACAACTCATTACACCTCTGCACACACATTCTCTGTTTCTCAGCACACCTGTTAGTCCCATCCTTTAGCAGGCTTCATTGGCTCTCGTTACTCCAATAGATCAACTTTAGATCCTTCCTCCGACCTTTAAATCCCCCGCATAACTTCACCTCTTCCTGCATGTTCAATCTTCTCCTATCCATACGCTCTATTCCTCACTTTTGTCTTTGTCCCTCATTTCTTCCATCCTACCATTTTGGTCTATTGTTTGCTCTTCATTCAGTCCATTCCTCTTCCTCTCTCCATGCTTTCAAACCCTCCTTAAGACTCATCTTTTTGACCATGCTTTTATTCAAATCCTTAATTCTCTCTTCCTTCTCTTCTCATCATATGGTAAGCACTTTGAGATACATTCATTCTACTTGAGAGGTGCTATATAAGTACCAGTCATTCATTCATTGATAAGTACAGTATTGTAATCATTTCTATGATCTAGTACGCATATAATGTGAGTCTTGAAGAAATCAATATATATTTCCTCAAAGGGAAAACCTTATTTATAAATTTATAATCTAATGATATTGGCAAATCTCACAATACATTAGAAGCCAACACTTTAATTTTTTAGAATAGTGAAATAGTATTTTTGTGTGGATATTTCTCAAATAAGCTTCGAAAAGATCTGAAGTGATTACAATCAGGCACTGTTACAGTGGAGTGAGGGTCCATATATCATCATCCAGTTGTCCCATAATTAAATAAAGAGTAATGAATACAACAAGATAAAACTGCAAATGCTGGATAATCTGAAACAAAATAAATGTAGGAAGACCACAGCAGGTCAGCTAGTCACTGAATGAGAAAGAAAGATGTATATTTCAACTATAATATTTGTGCAAAGAATGATGGATCTATGGAAATGATTTCAAGGCAATAATCTTCATTGAGGAATTCAGATGAAGCAAACTGGGAGCAAACTATGGATCGTTTATAGCTACTATTTGGATACTGAGAAAGGATTATCATAAAATAAATTTTGTAATATTCTTAACATTTAGGTGTACAAAGAAGATCTACCTCAGCTTAAACAGCAAAGTAAAGAGAAGAAACACACAGCAACCTCTCTGAAAAGAGAGAAAGCCCCCGAAGAAAGTCTGAAACTGCAGTTTGTTCATGGGTATGTTCAGAAAGTTATTTCAATTCCATTTCTTTTGTAATACACAGCAGTGTATAATGTTAATAGCCTTTCAATGAGTAAAATATTACAAATACTCGGAACAGTGATTACAACTTTCATCTGAACTCATGACAGAGATGCTACTTGTACCTTTACAGGAACTAGATATGCAATTTTGTTTGCCAGTGAGGCACAGGTGGAAACCGAAAACAGGAATAATAAAAGGGAGATTTTTTGTTAATCAAATTTATTTCCTCGTGATATTTCATTATCTGGAATCTGTTTTGGAAATTGGTTAATTTCTCCAGACTCCAGATTCTTTGGAACCCTGCAGCCCACTATTTAAGAAAATAATCACAAGTGCTTTGCAAAGATCACTTATGGATCCTGAAAAGTGTTCCACAAATAGTTCTGCTAAAGTTGCAAGACCTTTGAAAATCAACTCATAGAGCAATGCAACAATAACGACTTGCATTTATATAGTGCCACCTCAGAGCGCTTAACTTAGGGCAATGACTGCAATGCAATGCTCTACTAGGCTATGTAGTTTGTGAATTTAGAAAAAGTGGTACAGCAGTTGAAATTTAACCATCCCATAATTTGTATCCTTAATTTGCACCTTACTTCAAAACTAATCTTGGTTTTACTTTTCCCTTTTATAAATTATTTCCTTTTGTCACAGAAAAAAAGGTGCTTTACTCGGGTTTTTTGACTTCTGCTCCCAATAAACTCTGGCCCTGACATTGGCTCCCACTCAAACTTCAGTTCTCACTTTGGCTGAAGTCAGCTGGCCCATGGGTTTTAATGAATTTCTATATGTAGCCCTCAGCTTTCACTCCTGCTGAAACTCCAGGCCACCTCCCATTATCTCTATGACGTGCATTTTGGGGTTAAAATTGGCGCTTGCGTTACTTTACACGAGTGATAAGTCACACATTATTAGATGCATGTTCGAAGTCTAAAATTTGAAGTTGAATTATTTACATGACATTGCTGTCTACATCGAGGTATTAAAACATCCTTATTTTTCTTCCTCATTTTCATGTCTCAAAACATTTGTTGGAATTTGCTAATTTTTTTTACTAATCCTTTAGATATGAAGGCTTCACAGAAATCCAATTATAATTTCCTCCATATTTGCTGAAAAATCAGCAAATACTTGAAATGCTTAATTTTCCATTCTATGCCTCCACATTTGTTTAATTTGCTAATACTTGAATCTACTGTGAAGATAGTTTGACAGGTTCTTTGATACTGGGTCCTTCAGTGTCTAAAGTTGTGACTTACTGATTGGGTCACGGTGCAGTAAAATCTTTTAAATAGGCTGCAGAGCCATACTACAACAACAGCTATATGACCTGGATTCAGTGTTTCTCCTATGAAAATAAAAAGAATTGTAATCACAGAGGGAGGCGGGTTCTCCATTGTGTCTATGCCAAGCTAGCTCTTCAGAACATCACAAGATTGGTTTGCATGAAGAAGGCTCTTCGGCGCATTTGATCTTATCCTTCTAGTAGCAATCCTGCCATCTTCCCATCACAATACTAAGCTGCTTTGAAATAAGTCCTGTGTACTGGCCTCAGCCTCCCTTCTACTGCAGTCATTATTCTTTACTGGAACAATCAACTGTTCCATTTTCCTGCTCTCTCTCTCTCTCTCCTCATTTTCCTATGGAATCTGCAGTACTTCAGAGGACTGTAGAGCTGTTTTTGTCTGAGTTGTCTCGGTAATATAAACACAGCATGCATTAGATGTGCTTCCTCACACAATCCAGTGTTTTGTATCATGGTCACCACTAATACAGTTTCTTTGCACTGAGTAAAGTTAATGAGATTTCCATGAAGATAGGTGCACTGCTCATCTTGGTTTGATTTCTCATAATTGAAAAGACCTTCAATGATAATGTTTCAAAGAACCTTTTTTATCTGTTTTTCCTGCATTTTCCTATTTTTGGTCTCCTGCTACCATGTTTTCACCAAAATCAGTGCAACTCATTTTAGCTATGGCGAAGTGTGGTGGGGCTTATGCAGTTCTTATTTGATCTTCTCAAAGTTGGGATGCTTAATTGTCATAGCATTCTTCATTTGACGAACCAGATAATGATGAAACTCAGCGATGTAATCAAGGTTGAGTTTCAGTATTACTGGGATATGATTGTTCACAGTTATAGTGAAGGGATAGCTGAGGATTCAAGAAAAGATTAATCCATTTTGTTTTTGCTGATCTCTATTAATTAAGTAATGGGAAGCAGAGATTTAATATCCAGTTCCCTTATTTGTACAGGGAGCATGTGCTGCAAAAATCAATATTGGTCTTTAAATCTTGATTTATATTTAGAGCGATATAGTGCAGACCGTCTTTGTAGCATGGCATAAATATGAAACTAAAGCCAGATACTACTGAGCTTTCCAGATAAACTCTCCATTTCCATACCTACTAAAGTCAATGGACCCATTCCAGTACCTTTCTATAATACAGCCAAATGCATGAGATAGAAAGTACCAGGCCCTGTTATGTTAACAGATTTCTCACCATAGGGTGTTTTTCCTCTGTCTTGTTTGAATGCTTGAGTTAAACATGGTTTCCTTTTATTGCAATATACAAGTGGCCATAAATATCTGCACCTAAAAAATATAACCATGGCAATATTTAACAAGCTTTTGTGGTTTCTGTTTGCTTCTTGTGTTTTATTTTAGATACAGAGGATATGACTGTCGAAATAACCTCTTCTACACACAGGCAGCTGAAGTGGTCTACCATGTTGCTGCTGTCGCAGTTGTTTACAATCGGCAACATCATTCACAGAGATTCTATCTTGGACATGATGATGACATCCTTTGTCTAGCTCTTCATCCAATAAAAGACTACGTATCTACTGGACAGGTGCGTACTCTCAGAACCTAAATTCTGTTTGTCATTTGTTCCATTAATCAAATTGTAATAGAACCTACCTTGCAACCTCCTAACCCCCTATCAACCTGCCCGGTATCCACCACTCAGCCGGCTCCAGCCTGCTCCACATCCCCTGACCCACCCGCCCCACCATTGGCGGGTGAGCCTTCAGCCACTTTGCCCCCAACCTCTGGAATTCCATCCCCCAATCATTCCACCTCTCCCCCTCCTTAGCCTCCTTCAAGTCCCGCATCAAGACCCTCCTCCTCGTCCATGCCATCGGCCACCCTTCTTCCCCCCCCGACCCCAGCTTGGGTCTGAAATGCTGTACACTGTCCAGCGCCTTGGGTCGTCCTCCCGACGTGAAAGGCGCTATACAAATGTAATGTTGTTGTAAACTTGCCAAAGAAGAATGCTTTTCCCACACAATGAGTTTGCAATCTTTGCTATGCTGTTGTGAGGAGGTAACGAGTTAAAGCCCGATAATAGGATGGTACAAAATGTCAAAAGGAAAGTCACCTTTGACTGTTCTTATCCAATCAGCAGCAACATGGTAGACCACTTCAGCTACCTGTGTGTAGAAGTTGAGCATCCTGCTGATAGAGTGAGATAGATTGAGGTCTTGAAAGAAATTTATCTATCTGTCTTTAGTTTGGGAGGTACTTGGGATCCCAGAAAAGTTTACATTGTAAACTATGCCATTAATTAGCTTTGAGTATTTACTGAAATCATTTGTAATTAATGTTGTGTGTATAGGATAATTTTTTTTGTATATTTGAGTAACTATTTGGCAAATGCATTTTTTTATATAATAGTACTTTTATGTTAGGTTGGCCGGGATCCAGCAATTCACGTTTGGGATACACAAACACTTAAATGTTTGTCACTGCTAAAAGGACATCATCAGAGGGGAGTGTGTGGGCTTGACTTTTCAGGTAAGTTGTTAACATCTTTTGCTAAAGTTGCCAGTCATACAAATGTTGATTCTGCAGTTAAAATATCTATCATGATTTATGCTGAGCTTGGAAAATAAATATTCTCGCTATTGTTTATTTTAAATCTCCCTTCCATAAAAGAAAAACATTCTGTTAATTCATTGCAAATGTTTCTGAAGGGAAAGCAAATTGAACCATGATGCTGTTTCTGTGAGGATAATAATTTGTGCCATTGCTATTGATTTTTCTTGTTACAGCTGATGGAAAAAGCTTGGTGTCAGTTGGTTTAGATGACAACCACACAATAGTGGTGTGGGACTGGAAAAAAGGAGAAAGGCTAGCAACATCAAGGTCTGAGCTTTAACCATAACAATTTTGACAGTAATTGGAAACTATAGTTGCTTTTCTTTTGGTTTCCTTTGTTAGAAAGCATCTGTCTTAAAAAAACAAACTCTCCTTTTTCCCACAGGGGGCATAAGGATAAAATATTTGTAGTTAAGTGCAATCCACTTCATGCCGATAAACTTATTACCGTTGGGATAAAGCATATAAAATTTTGGCAGCATGCAGGTATGTCAATGCATCCAAATTGAGAGGATTAACACTTTAATGTTTAAATTTGTTTCTTACAATAGTGTGTTTGTGTATACATATATATTGCCAAAAAGACCGTTCTTGAAATCTGTGCCATCTTGAAACCATCCCTTAATCTATGGCGGTGAAGTAAAAAGTACAGGAAAATAATTTGTTATATTTGACTAATATGGAAGCACTGTAAAGCAGGAACAATAGAAGTGATTTTTGGTAAATTTACAAATCTTTATAGGTGACGACATTTTATTCTGGTCAATAAATCCCATTGTAAGATCACAACCCCAAGGACCATATATTTACAGAGCAACAGAAAGTAAGATGTTCTCCCCTACCATAATTTGCTAATGTACTAATCTTTGGAGAATCACTTGTAGGATCTACAATGGTCAGTATTCCACTATACTAATGATAGTTAGGATATTGGAAGAAACATTTATAGCACCATTGTATTGCGCAAAATATAGCACAAGTGCAATACAGAAATTGTATTGCAATTTTTTTCATTGATTATTTCTTTACTCATTTATATCAAATTGCTGTAATATGACAATTTCTAAAGAGATTAGTTTAACAGTTTTAGCATTTTCCTAAATATACTATATAATAGTATATAACATAGTTATTCCAAGGATCAGATTTTTAGTCCACTCTCAGTATTTTAAAGCAATGTAATGACAGATTTAATGGAATTTCCCTGGTTGCGCTGTTTGCTTTCAAGGATGCTGCAGCTGCACAGATTGTTTTGTTGATGAGAGGTATAGGCAATAAAATTGTGTGAAGCAATTCATTACTTACAAATTAATTCATAGTTCTGTACTCAAAAGTGCTTACAACATAAAATCCCTGATGTTGTAAGCAGTGTAAATGTGTTCAAATCTTCAGTGAACTGTGACATCTCCATGCATTTTCTAACATTAATACCATTGGATTACCAAGATAAACATTAAACACCTGACTGGAATAGCACTTATTGGACTTCAGCATACTTAAAATAGAGTTACTGCTTGTTTTGCACAGTGTGTCTATTTGTGTCATTAATACTGCAGTTTCTGATTTTGAAGGTGGTGGTCTTATCTCTAAGCGTGGAATATTTGGCAACCTCGGGAAATTGGAGACAATGATGTGTGTGTGCTATGGTCGGATAGAAGACATGATTTTCTCTGGTGCTGCAAATGGAGATGTTTACATCTGGAAAGACATTCTTCTGCTGAAGACAATTAAAGCCCATGATGGGCCTATTTTTGCTATGCATGCCTTAGATAAGGTGCCTTGAATTTTGTGTTACAATTCATTTTGCTAGTTTTGCCATGCACATTACTTATGCATTACTGTAATATGGGTAGACAGTCAAGTGTGATTTAGATAGCAAGGTATCTTAAGTAAACAAGCAACATAATACATCAATCTGTGCAGTAGCAATACACAGATCAAATTAGTTATATCAGGTAACATCGGCAGTAAAGTTTGCAGTGTTTAAAGCATTCCTTACATTAGTTCAAACTGGAGTAAATGACCACTAGGGAGAAGGTCAGCCCTCTTTGGACCAGATGCCCCCATATTTGAAATTATCAAAACAGAGTAAGTTTATATTGACTGCCACGTTCGCCCACAAAATGTACAATCAATTCACTTTTGAGTATGTTCCATGAAGCACTTTGAGACGTCTCGAAGACGTGATAAGACGCTATATCAAATGCAAGAATTATTATAAATTGTAGCCTCTAGACCAGCTTCTAAGTTTTTTTTCTTCTTTTGGCTTAATATTTCTTTTCCAAGGTCGATGTGCTGAAGAAGCACATCTGTCCCCAACCAGGCCTAGGTTGTCCAGTCAGTAAACAGGCCTGGGAGAGCATGCATTTTTCCCTTTTGAGGCAGATGAACCCTAGAAAAGAAATATTAAGCACAAAAACAAGTGCAAAGCCGCTCTATGACCTACAATTTACAATATAATTTTATCTCATTGGTAACATCAAAGAAGATGGCAGGAACAAGAATCTGGGCTGAACAGGAAGAGTCCCCTTATTGAGAAGAATATGTTTCTAGCTAGTGATGATTTACCTTAACGCCAAGTAACATAAGCAATGTTTTGAACATCACAAACTATGCCCCAATACTTCCAAATGTGCTGGGCACAATGCTTTATCATGAACAACTCTTGGATCATATGCTTATGATCCAATGACCAAGTTGGGCCCCCTTCCCATAACGATGCAGTTTTATTCCTTGTAACACAGAGAATAAAAGACCTTGAGACTAATTGGTAAAAGATGTTAAGGATCTAAGGACATTTTTAGTTTGAAAAGGAGAATGGCAGCCTTCCCTTGCATTCATATATTCTGTAAATTCTTCCTACCAAATTTGTTGAAGGTGAAAAAAAATGATCTATTAACCTCTTTTGCATGATACAGATTATGCATAATTATTACAAAAAATATTCTCTTCTAGCGAAAATCTGGACAGTACTGTCAACAAGCAACAAAAATAACTCATGAAAATCACTCTGTGACTGCGACTTTTCCTTAAGTATTCTTAAGCGTTCTTAAGTATTCTTCCATCTCCTGGTCCAATAGTCAAATCAGTTACATACTGCATATGAACTGCAAATAAACTGTGCTTACAAAACCGCAACTGCAGTTTGAACTATTTCCGTATAACAATTTCTTTAAAATTTGTGGGTAATCTGAGCACATGTTCCTTTTAATAAATAATTCAATTAAGAAGGATGTTTAATTGGCAATTGCCTAATGATTACATCTACCATTTAATAATAATAATAATAATAATCCTTGCATTTGATATAGCGCTTTTCACGTCGGGAGGACGTCCCAAAGCACTTCACAGAACACACTGTAAAGTGATTTGTGGGCGAACGCGGCAGCCAATTGCGCACAGCAATGTCCCACAAACAGTCGTAGATTGAAAATGACCAATTTATTATTGTTTTTGGTTTTGGAGGGATTATTATTAGGCTCTGTGTGGAGTGAGGAAACTTGCCCACGGTTTCGCCCTCTGCCTGGAATTGAACTCAGGTCTCTCGCTTGCAAGGCGAGTGCTCTAACCACTGAGCTACAGGACTCCATTTATATGAAAGAACCTACATATTACAATGGTTTCAGTTTAGTGCAGTGGAAAATTTACCAGATTTTAGAAAGTTCAGTCTGCAAACCAAATATTCAGTTTTCAATTCCCATTCTTTCATGTTTTCAAATGTTTTAATGTAGTGTTTAAATCGTCATAGTTATGTTCTTAATTTGCTCAATTTGTTTAATTTTTTTATTGCTGCAGGAAGGAGGGAGAACAAGAAATATTTTACTACAAAATGATGAATAATTAATGCTAATTGAAAAATATACTTAGACTATTCTTAATGGACTTAACTTATTTTTTCGTAAGGGATTTGTAACAGGCGGCAAGGATGGTGTTGTAGCACTCTGGGATGATATCTTCGAGAGATGTCTGAAGACGTATGCTATAAAGAGAGCATCCTTATCACCTGGCTCTAAAGGTACACTTTAATTAGTTTACCTGGTTCCTGCATACTTTTTCATATTTCTTTGGAATAACTAGGATGGCAGCGAACAGGCATGAAAGCAAAAGAAATAAGTTCTGAAAATAGATGCTTTTAGAGACCTTTTCTACTATAGGCAGAACGATATGCCTTGTACCAGAATAGTTTGTAAAATTCACAAATTAGGGCACAAAACAGATGAAATTGAGACAAATCTGAAAAATCACAATCATTGGGAAGTGTACTATACTATTAGTAATGAAACATGACGCTTGTACATTTGCAAGAATGGTTGATATATTGTAAACCATTGCATCTCTATAACGTCATTTAATTGAAAATAGACATTGAAGCATAGAGTTGCATGATTGTCTGCTTTCATTATTATTATTATCATTGCCAATACTCCTAGCATCAGATAACCTTTGCATAGCAGTAGCCTTTTTCTCAATCAGTACATCATGCAGCCAGGTCATATTACAATATTCAGAGAAATTAGCCTTTAGTCCATGTTTGGACACATCGGTACAGCTAAATAAGAAGCACAATTTATAATTTTAACAAATCAGTCAGTTTCGTGGAAAATGCTATAAGTGAATCACAAGATGATGCTTTTGCAGGTTTGCTTTTGGAAGACAATCCTTCAATACGTGCCATTACATTGGGTCATGGACATATACTTGTAGGAACCAAGAATGGTGAAATACTTGAAATAGATAAAAGTGGACCGATGACCTTGCTGGTTCAGGTATTTGCTTCTCTGGCATCACTATATATTTTATAAACAGATGGACTGGACTCCTTTAAACTTGATAAATATATTTTTTCTAAAATTAACGTTCAATAACATTTTCTCAATGGTCCGGGTAGGGCCCTGTGCTAGCACATTGTCTAAATTACATTGTCTGTGGAAGCTGCTTTGGATCTAGTCAGGGGATGGAATTTTCTACTGTGCCAGGTGAGAGTCTTAAATGAAATTTTAAGCAGTTGGGCAAACCAGACCCCGCAGCACCATATTACCAATGAACAGAGAGTATTAAGATTGGCTAGTGTAGATTGACATTGTCACCATGATGGAACACAACACTATATAAATCTTGTGAATATACAAGTAGTCAGAGGAACACTGAAGACGAGGAATAAGAAAATATTAGATGGCTTCTCTACTTCCAGCGCATTAGTGGAAAACCTACAAGGCAGACACTTAACATTTACTTTAGAAATCACTGATATAGAGTAGCATTATAGAAATTATGTAATTACATTCATTTTAAGTTGCGCACAGTCAAAAAATATATTAAATGTATACAGTACGTAGAAGACTGAAGGTTAGAAAAATGTATATTATAGGTTAAGAAAATAGATATAGAGCACTTCAGCTTAATAATTATTGAAATATAGTTGCAGTTAAAGACACCAGTCCATCTGTCACTGTAATTATATTGAGTATGTGGTTTGGCATTTCAAGAAACCTAATTTAATCTAAGCCGGAACTAAAGACCAAATAAATCCATTCTAATTGCATTGAATTCTAATTGGGAAAAATAGTTGCCATTTCCTTTTGCTGAGTGTTCTAACCTTTGAATGGTGCTCATGTTTGTTTTATTTTATCCATTAAGGGTCATATGGAGGGGGAGGTCTGGGGCCTCGCAGCACATCCTATTCTTCCTATCTGTGCCACTGTAAGTGATGACAAAACACTTCGGATTTGGGAATTCTCTTCCAACCACCGTATGCTAGCAGTACGTAAACTTAAAAAAGGTAATTCGTATCGCTCAAAACATTTTAGTCAAATTCCATTTTTTCTTAAAAAGTTTATATTGTCAGGGCTAGAAATGTTTAATAGATGGTCTGAATTTTTAAATAAAAATTAACATTATTTATTATTCAGATAATTATTATGTTAAAATAGTTGATCATTTACTGAAACCTGCTTGTATGCAATTCTGTGTATACATGCTTATTAAATCTGAGTTTTTCAAATGTCTCACTACCTTTATGGGTGAGATGTATTTAATCCTGTTTAACTAGTCATTTGGCGATACAGTATGCAGCATTTACATTGGATCTGCCCTTTTTACATGTAACTTAGTTCCACAGTGTAAGAAAATATAGCCTTCAACATTGTCTTAGGTAGTGTTTCACAGAGGCAAAACTAATTGATTGGTAATTTTATGTTGTCTTTATAATTTTATATAAACTTTATTATTAAAAGTTTTTATTGCCAATGAGATTTTGCCAGAGCACGCTACTTTGTTAATTGGCCATCCATTAGAGTTGGTTGCTCTCAGCCTCAGAGTTCTTTATCTTTATTGGAACTTAAACCTCTTATTTATCCAGTGGCAGACTTAAGCTTACTTTAATTTTTAACTCCCTGCATTACAAGTAGTACTCTGCATTTAAAAGGGATTAAACTAAATTGGTTGGGTTTCTGAAAATACTGTAACCATTATATTCATGCTTAATGTTGTCAGCCTAGCCTCGAGCCAGGCCCACATTTGATGAGTTAGTCGAAAACTGCTGACTCCATTTCAGGTAGCTGTCAACTGAAAGAAGATGCACTGTACTATTGGAAAGAACTTGGCAAGTCAAGAAAAATGACGTGACATTTTACACTCAGTAGAAGATGTAATCTTGATAATATAATATCCATGCCTTTGGCTCTGATTTATCTCAATCTTTTTGTCTGCTCTCTCAGCTCAGCTAGTGTGCAACCTTGGAGTTCTGTTCTAGAGTAGCGTACATAATAATTTGCTGAAATGACTTTATGTCTGCCCTAGAGGAGAGACAGTCATAGTAACAATCAAAGAGATCTGTGATTTCCGCAAGCAGTGATTATATAAGTTATTTTACCTTCTCTGTTGCTTTCATAAATGCGGCATTAAGCTGCTTCCTTTTTGTTTTGTTCTTTTAGGTGGAAGATGTTGTGCCTTCTCACCAGATGGAAAAGCCTTAGCTGTAGGGTTGAATGATGGAAGTTTTCATGTAGTGAATGCTGACACCCTGGAGGATATGGTGTGTTTTCACCACAGAAAGGAAAATGTATCAGATATCAGATTTTCATCAGGTAATTCAGAATGATGTGTTCATTGTTTTAGTGAACAGTTGATTTCAATTCTTTATTATTTCTACATTTTTGTGTGAAACCACATCCAATTCATAGAGAGAAGTAAGTAGGTCACAGTGAATTACAAGGAAATAAGCTAATTGAGGAAACCTGCTAACTTTGTAACAAGCGCAATATTCAATCACTTTAACTTGTTAATATGAATAATAGCCATTTGGATAATTACCAGAGGACATCTTGCACCTGTGGAACCATATCCTCGCAGAAGGAAAAGGGAGTCTAAATCCAATCATCAGAATAGGTTAGATATTGGAAATGAAAGTTCCTGTCCCAGTCTTAGAGCCAATATACCATGGCCTTTAATACACCAGAGGACTTTGTTTTTGTTAGTTAAAAAAAAGTGGATTACTACTTCTGAAAATGAATGGAGTATCTGTTATTCTTTTGTCACATACAGTGATATGAAGATGCTTAATTTTTAATTAAAATCCTTTTTCAGAAAGTAAAGCATGTCTTATGAAGTATTGAAGATAAACATAATGATTGTTGCTTCTTCTATTTTTGCCCTCCCCAATCCCCCACGAAGCGTCCTTCTCTCTATGCTTGAGGAGAGACAATCATGGCAACAATCAAAGAGGTTTTAATTATTTTGCAAACAGTGATTGTATCACAATGTTCTTCCGTTTACCTCGACTACTTTGTGAGACCTATAGAAGAAAATGGGAAGTTCTACTATGAGTTTTATTCACCTCTTCACAGTTGTCAAAGCAAGTAGAGGAAAAATTGTGTGTGGGCACAAGGTTTCCTTATTCAGATAAGAACAGATGGAAAAGGCACCAGTAATTCTATGTTAAATATCTGGCTGTTAATTTACAATAGTAATTCAATCTGCGTTCTTCTGACATTCAAAGGTAGTCCAGCTTCTCTCAAGATTTATGTTGTCATAAGAAATTAGAATGACTCAATTGAATTATCTCTTTATGAATCATTGCCAGACATCTGTTTGTTAGGTAAATAGAAAGCAATAATCCCATTACTCGCAAAAAATTATATTTCCTGTGTATCCCTAATCATGTGACTTTACTCATTATTTCCTACTTTTGTTCAGTTTCCCATTGAGTCGGTAATAGCATAATCTATTGGCATTGAGCTGACATCAAGCCTGAGAAACAAATGCTTCTAGGATATTCTATTTGGGTGAGAGATAGAGAATCAAATATGGCATAGCATAAGTCGAAGAAAACATTAAACAATCATGAAGTTTGAAAATAAAGGCAAGAGAAAACTTTTACCTCTCTCCCTTGGTATTAATCAACAGAGATTTCAGAGCTCTTGAAATAGTAGTTTAACACATGAGCCACTCAGACTTTATTATTAATAATTTAGGAATGTTTAAGTAAATGAAAGTATTCAACACTTAATATCCCCATTTGCAAACTCAAATCAAATTTTGATTTTGTGGTTTTTTAACATGTTATAATACTGAAAAACGCACTTGTGACATACAGGGTGAAAAATTGATGGTCAGTAATATTATAAGCACATGCCACCAAAGTTGGTGTTGACCTGTCTGAGTTCCTAGTACTATTGCCTCTTGAGTCAGAAGTTTGTGGGTTGAAGCCCACATTGGGACTCTGAGCTCACAGTCTTAAGCTGACACTCGTGCAATACTGGGGGAGCTACTGCATTGTGAGGTCTGAAGTCCCGTCTGGCTGTTCAGGTGGTCCTAGAAAAGATCTCAATGCATCCATTCATAGCTGAAATTGTGAACTTCTCTTCTGTAGAAATGAGCTGAGAAACCACATCCTTTCAGCTCTGCTTCATAGGGTATTTTATACCAATAATATACTGTGCCATCAGGCCATGACCACAGCTTACTAAACCAGACTGTCATAACAGTTCGAAACCATATTGTTTAAACATCAGTCTTTGAACAAACACTGATCTGCATTATACTCTTAGATGCAGGGAAATTCCTGGCAGTAGCTTCCCATGACAACTTTGTGGACATCTATAATGTGCTTACAAGCAAAAGAGTTGGCATATGTAAAGGGGCATCGAGTTACATCACCCATATAGACTGGGATGCAAAAGGTGAGGAAAATCTTGAAGTCTTTTAAAATGCTTTCACTATATTTTTCAACAAGTATTATTTCATTCAGATTGTTTTGACAAGGTTAGACCTTTAAAGTTTAAAGCCTGGGGGCTCACAAAAAATATACCTAGGTACTGTATTTGCCAGTTTTCTATGAGGAAAAATTACTGTAGGCTTAAACTTATTTGCTTTTGAAATAAGTGTAAAATTTACAATATTCGGTAACAATCATTTGTTTAGATGAAGGCGACTATCTTTATCACCACAATTTATGATGCTTGCTATGAAACATTAAATAATAATAACAACTTGCACTTATATAGCGCCCTCTAAGCAGGGTAGTATCTCAGAACTTTTAACAGTGGCAGAGCCTGACACCAGTGGGTGGGGGGAGATGGGGGTAAGCACGGTCGAAGAGGAAGGTTTTCAGGCAGGGCTTGAAAAAGGCGAGAGAGGGGACAAAGCGGAGGGATTGAGGGAGAGTGTTCCAGAATGGTCATTAAGTGATATTCCTTTCTAGAATTGTCTCCCGATTCTCAGATCAGCAATACATCACCTTTATTTAAATGCACAGAATCTTTCTAATGTAGATTATAGCCAGACATGTCTTCTAAATTTTGGGGGGTTTGTGAGTTGTTTCTTCATCTTGAAATTTCTGAATCATGGCAAAATCTGTTCTCTTCGCACTCCAGCAATCTTTTTATTGATCAAGATCAATGCAGGATCCAATCAATAAAAAATGGTATGCGGACTAGATAGTGCAGATTTCACTACGATTTGGAAAATTAAAGTACAAAAGCAAAAAAAGTTTTAGAGGCTATTGCATCAGCTGTAAAGGTTCATCAGAAACTGTCTGCGTTCAAAACCAAGATATCGAACATTGCAAATTTTACTACATCGTTGAAGAGAATTAAATTAGGAAAATACACTGTTAGAATTAATAAAAATTACTTAAGCAATTGTTCAACGTTGAATTATTTACAGGAGTATTCCTTTAAAGAAAGGCACTTTATCTATTCCAATTAGGTATTTGAATCTCCAACATTTTATTTCATGAAAGTTAGTAGCACGTTTTCAAAACTATTATTCTTGCAATAGACCTATACCAATTACTTTCTTGTTGCTGGTGTACCGCACTAATGCTTGTTTAATATTTGTAGAATGGCAAGATTTGCTGAATGAATTCTTCTAAGATTAATGATCCTTACTTTGATATAGTGCGTTTCACATCAGGAAAACCTCTCAAAGCACTTTACTGTAAAATGTAGCAGCTGTATTCTGTAGCCAAATTAAAACAAAATTGCTGTTTCTGTCTATGCAAGTAATCGCTTGTGCTGATCTAACTACTATTTGTTGACAGAATCCAGGTTCAGCTGCCTCACAAGCAGTTCTACTTCTCTTGTCATTTTGTTTTGTCCCATGTAATGTATTCTGCCTTTCCCCCATAGAGCTATGGAGAAATTGTATGTTTCTATTCGTTATTTTGTAGAAGAAATATTTTAGTATTTGGGAAACCTAGAAGTGTTGTGCACAGAAGCCAACCGTTTGACCCATTGTATCTGTGCAACCGAACTGCTTTTCTAAATCTCCATTTTTTTCATCTCTAAAATTCAGTCCCTGTTTATTTCACTGTAGTGCTTTAGGAACACTGCATTTTGGAAAGTTTGATGTATTCTGTATTCAGGACTGAGTTAAGAGGTTTTAAAACAAATGTTCTAGAAATACTGGAGCAAACTTTGCATTGAAGGTTATCAGCCCATTTCTTAATTTCTTCCATATTTAATTAAGATGATTTAATAGAAACACAGTACTGGTGTAGTAAATGATAACAGAGATAACTAATTATGTTGAACATTACATTACTTATTTTCATCCATTTCTCAGTCTCTCAGCACTGGCCTTTTTGATCCTCAAGTCAGGTGAGAGTACATATAGTACTGTGAACTCCTTTCACAGTTGTGGTGTGCTGTTCCTTGAGTCAGCTGGTATCTGGTCAAAGGTGCACACAAGTGAGCCCATCTTCTGTCACTCTTTTATAAGGTGGTGATGCTCCACCAAAGGAAAGCTGAGAAATTCATCACATTTACAATGGGAAAGTTAAAGGTTCTACCTGAACTTGTACCTCTCACAATAAAGGTATGAAACAAGTGCTCTACCATTCCACAGCCTGACCACTTGTATTAGCATTTAGTTCTCAGTCATTCATGAATTTAAAATGCTAAAATAATTCAGAATTTTTTCTTAACTACTGAAATATTTCAGTCAATTAAATACAAAATATAATTGATAGTTTTGGCATTCATAGATGAAACACATGGAGACAAACTGTCTGTGGTAGAGTTCTTTTCCACAATAAATTTAAATTATGATTTTTTTAGAGTGAAGTTTCATTGATGGAAGTTTCTTTGTAATATACACAATTTCCAATCACATTGGTTTGGAAATATAAATGAAGAATGGCAGAAAAGATGGAAAAGCAATGCAAAAGAGCTACATTCAGTGGGACTGACCTTCAAGACCTTCCTCTTTGGCCACGCTTTCGGTTATCTTTTTCCCCCTTGCGCCCTTGGCCCCCCACCCCTCCCAAATCCAAACCCCAGCTCAGGGCCAAACCCTGTTCAGTGATTTGATATGTTCTCCTGATGTGAAAGATGCTGTATAATTTATTATTTGTTGTTGTTGTTGACTGTACTTTGAAGTTGATGAAAATTAGTTAAGAGATTTGTTTATATTAATCCCATTTTTATAGATATTGATGTTCCTAACAGAGTGGTAGGCCTTCTGGAAGAGTTGCTGAGTTTTAAAATAGCCAGTCATTCTGCACATATAATTTGAACTCTTATATTTTTATATTATGTAACTTTCTTAAGAGAAAGGTTGGACAAGATTTATTTTTGTTTGTTAAAATAAATTCTGTTTCTTTCCTTGCAGGGAAGTTATTGCAAATTAATTCAGGTGCCAAAGAGCATCTGTTTTTTGAAGCACCAAGAGGGAGGAGACAAACAATTAGAAATACGGAGGTAATTGATGCAGTATTTGTTATGTACTCGTCACTTAATATAGTTACATTGAATTAAAACGTGGCAAAAAAAAAATTGTTGTCTTGCATTTTGAGAGAATAGCTACTGTAAAGAGAAGCACAAGTGCAATTATCAGTTAAAAACGAAAAATAATCTTTTCAGTATTTTAATTGTTACCCAAAAGGCCCCTAGGCTATGATTTTAGTCCTTTGGGTACCAGCTTGGTAATTCCGCAATTCTGCACCAAATCAAATATTAATCAGAAATGTTCTATGCATGTATAGCTTGCTTATGTTCTTCTCGATGTTCAACCAGACATTTGCTGAACATCAATTTCAAAATCTTATGAGAGACAATTGATGCAAGTGTGCCAGAATAACTTGGACAAAATCAATTCATTTATGAAACTGCTCAGATTTTTTTCATTTTAATAGACTTATGAGAAGACAGAAAAAAAATCAAAAGTATTTAAAGGTTTACCAGGAATCTTTCCAGTCATGTGATTTCAAATAGTTTTGGATATTCTTAAGCAAAGCAATTCATTTTTTTAAAAAGTCTTCAATTTGTAATGGCAGATAGAGAAGATAGATTGGGCAACGTGGACGAGTGTTTTAGGACCAACCTGTGAAGGAATCTGGCCTACACACAGTGATGTTACAGCAGTCAATGGAGCGTGTCTAACCAAAGACAAAAAACTCTTAGCCACGGGAGACGACTTTGGCTTTGTGAAGATCTTTTCTTTCCCAGTTAAGGTAACTTAATTGAAATGAATGTTATCTTAGAAAAATGAAAATAAAATAGTATAGGTTATCCATAAACAAAACAACAACTTACATTTATATTGCACCTTTCATGTTGGGAGAATGTCTCAAGATGCTGGACAGTCGAGGGTTTGCACCCGAGTTGAGGGTTGGATTCAGAAAGGGTGGGACCTAGGTGGGTTACGGTGGGTATGGTGACGGTAAAGTTCAACTATGTTTTCTCTTATGATAAAAAATGGATAAATTTATGTCCAGTGTGGCTATTGCATAATTCTTGTAGAGGGGACTATTTGGACATGTCCCATAATGTATTTTTAATATTCTATCAATGTAATTTGTCTTGTATGCATATCTATCCATCAGTCACTTGAAACATGTAAATTAAATGGGAAATGGTGATTTATTTTATTCAGTAAACAAAGTTGGGTATAAAGGGTCTTCAGAATGCAACACATCACCATCAGTAAAGAGAACAAGGAAGCCGGAGGCTCTATTTAACAATTCAGAATGAGTTAACTGTAGCTGAAGACATAAAAAAATATTGTGGCAGTACAGAAAACGAAAGGCCTAAATTGAGGGTTGCATGAAAAATTGGACATGTCTGATTCACGCTATAAAATGTTGAAAATAGTTTGATGAATTGACAAAGGTAGAAATTGCTGATCTAAAGAATTAAAAGAAAAGGAAAATTGGCTGTTTGGGAGAATGCATTTCACTATAAAAATAGCTTTAGAGGGGTAATCAATCTTGGGTATCAGTTTTCCTACTGTAGTTAGTCTCCCTGATATTTTTGATATATGGGGCAATAAACATTGTCACATTAGATTTCTTACATCACTAATGCTCCAGCAACCGTTAGTCCTGACCAGCAAGCCTAAGAACTTAACATAGTGGTACAGAGCAAGATCTCCACCTGCTTCCAGTATTAAAGAGCATTCAAACAGGTACCTGGATTGAATAGTTCTTACTATTAATATACTTTTTTAATATTTTACATTAACATGTGGTCCCAGCACTGGATTCTCAGAATGTTTGCAGCTCTCTATAAGAGAGGTTACAAATAATTTGACATGCTCATTCACCAATTACCACAACTTATCTGGATTGTTTTCCAGGGCCAGTATGCAAAGTTTAAAAAGTATGTGGGCCACAGTGCTCATGTGACTAATGTGAGGTGGGCACAGGATGACTGCTTGCTGCTGACAGTGGGTGGTGCTGATACTGCTTTGATGATCTGGAGTCGTGAAACAGATGGAAACAGAGACAGCAAGCATGTGGATAGTGAGGAGTCTGACACCGACACAGACGAGGACGGAGGTAGATGAAAAAATAACTACTGCAAGCTACCTGAAGAATAGATGTATTCAAAGCTAGAATGTTAGACACTTGGTTAAAATATTTTAATTGTAATAAATTCAAGCTTTAGAGTTGGAATTATCCGGCAAGCTACTAGGACTTTCTAATACTAGGCAGATTTCTAATATGCAACTTGCACCCCTGCATTTCCAACACGTTGCTTACAGATTTTAAATCAGGCCAAATAGAAATGGACTAATTTATATACATCTTTATCTTACATTCAGGATGTTAGATCTGTTCTTAGCTTTTATAAAATAAACTTTCAAATTTAATTCCTTTTACATTTTTTTTCCACCAATTTTCTCCTCTTACCCATCTGCTGAAGACAAGTACAGTTTGCTGGATGACAACAATTAGGCTATCTTAACACAATGCTGCCATATCCAGTGTCCTTATGGAGTAAACAATATATGAATCACAAACCTGAGACTCCGCGTGGCGCAAGATGTCAGTGCTACATCTGTTCTGCACAATCCTGATTAGGAGTGATCTATCATTATAACAGCTTTGAAAGTCGTTATGTATTAAATTTATTATTTTCAACATTCCACAAGATTAATATTTTTGATAAGAATAGGAGCTTTGCTGTATTATATAAAATCATTAGATAATCTGACTATACTGGAAAGTGCCAGGAGTTTGGATCTCTTGCAAAAAATGTGTGTTAAGACAAAAGGGATCGAGAAAAATAACTTGCATACATGATAACAACCAAGTCTATTTCTCTATTTATCCAGGGTATGACAGCGATGTTGCAAAAGAGAAATCTATTGATTACACAACAAAAATCTATGCAGTTAGTATCAGGGAGATGTCGGGCACAAAACCACATCTACAGCCAAAAGAAGTCTCAACAGAAGAAAGGTACATCACTGATGGGTTTTTGCCTTGAAAGTACAAATTTGTTGGCAATTCTAATTGCAATTAACTACAGCTATTGAGTTTTCTTAATGCTTTTCTTTGCTTATTAGTGTGGGTGAACGTTTTCAGTTTGTGATACTAATATGCTAAACGCATGGAGATGCATGAAAGTTTACTTTTAGCCCAGCAAACTCCCACAGTAGAAATGAAATAATGCTTTGCGAACTGGAGAATGTGCAGTTACAATGAATGGGGTTATACTGTAATTAAACAGGGATAAAATGGTACTTTGTCTGTTTAAGAGGATTCTTCCATATTAAGGCATGTTCTTCATAATGATATATTGCCATCTATTTTTGCCTTGACCAGTCCCTCCAATGTTTTTAAAAATAGCAATTGTCTATTAAAGTATAAAGAGAGTATTATGTGTTAAATGAAGCAAAGATCTGTGACAATGTCATAATTCCTAAGTATGTTCTCCCTAGTGATATTATTTATTTTGTAATTGTTTTATAAAGGTGAGTAGGAAAGGAAATCACCCCAAAATACTGTATCTTTAAGCGCTACATGTTACCAAATTAAAGTGGCTAAATATAAAGCACAGCCAGTTTAATCAGGTGATCTGCCCCTACATGGCCAAATAATGGGGTCTTGTTTGGACTCTTAAGTTGATTGTTTCTTTTCATCCATTGTTGACTGAAATCCTTTTCTTGTACATCCAAAACTGTTCATTTATTATACAGTTATTTGGTTCTATTTAATCACTTTGCTCCATTTGTGCAGTAACATGTTTGACTTGATTAACATTTTAGAAAGTTTTTGCTGTTACAAATTCATCAATGCCATTTTGCTATAGCTGTGTCTCGGTATTGGTCCACTATCTGTCAATATGGTTCCATTTAATCCAACATTGGCAGATCATACATGGTTCTGAAATCTGCCTCAAATGTTGTGAATCCTTCCATGTGACCATCTCACATAACACCTATCTTTGCTATATTCCATCCCTGGGACTAAACAGGCAGCTCTTTCAGACGGTCAACATAGACATGAAGGGCCGAGTGGCCTTGTTCTGTTCTGTAATTCTATGTACAATCTTACAAAATGTGGTCTGCTCTAAACTCACCAAACAGCTTGATGCAAACAGTTTTTTTGCCAGATGGTTAATCTGGCTACATAAATGTTTCTTTAGGGATCTTGAGGTTTAAGTATATACCGATGACTTCTTAGATTTATACTGTACCTTTCATTTAAAATAATGTATTGTATTGGTATAAAGTCTTCCTAACGTTTTTGAATAAAATTTTAACCAGCCTCTTTCTGAACTAATCGTCAGCTCCAAGCAAGGCTGTGTACGCAGCAGAATAGGCAAAGTTATCAAGATGATTGTGCATAATATAGACCTCTTAAAGGAAGAGTCTCCCTGGTTTCTTTCCTCCCACAGTGTAGAAAATTCCTGGTTTTAAATGGAGGCTGAATTAACAATTTCTTATGCCTTTCACTTCAGGATAGAGTAATATCTCAAAGCACTTTACAACAACCATGAAGAGAGAGGAGACCATAGTTTATTAAGCCAATATTTTTTGGTGATTTATTTTGTATTTTTCCCGATGTAGGATATCTGTGCTGCTGAACGAAATCCTTTTCTATTTGGTCACCTTGGGCAAGAAATTTCTCAGCCATGAGGTGCAACAACTTTGATGATAATAATAATAATCTTGCATTTGATATAGTGCCTGTCTTTCATGTCAGGAGGATGTTTCAAAGCACTTCACAGGATTAACTGTAAACTGTAGTGACTGTTTTGTGGGCAAACACGATAATGTACATAGCAGAGCTGAGTGCCCCTGTTGGTGCATGCCGTCAAAGACACCGCACTGTCCAACATGAGGAGAAAAAAAAGTGGCTACTCGTTCCACGACAGTTTGTCAGACACTGCTGTGTGCAATTGGCTGCCATGTTTCACCCACAAAATACCCAGTCAATACATTTTACAATATATTCTGTGAAGCGCTTTGAGACATCTCAACGATGTGATAAGGTCCAATATCAAATGCAAGGATTATTATTATTGTTATTATAATTTCTCGCTCTAGGTGTCAGCCCAGCTCAGATGTAACTCAGAAATACTGCAGACCAAGACCTTTCATTTGTTGTTTCTCCTTCCCAGTAGAGCACCTCTTCACAGTTTTCTGCAGTTTTCAATTACTTTTTTGCATGCCATAAAATACTGCGTACCAATAATATATATATTTTCCCTTCATGTAGATCTGCTCTATACTGCCTCTTCTACTGCTTCTTGTAGTTAATTCAATGTCTTAGTCCATTACTGACAGAAAATAAATATAAAAATGTTAATTAAAACCCAACTTAATTTTCCAAAATTATCAAAACTCTATTGCTCTATACCTGAAATATTAAAACTAGATAAAAGTGGAAGAAAATAGAGCACTCTCTACCGCAAAAGTAACCTTAACAAAATTCATACTTATTGTCAGATGGTCTTGAAAATAATCCTAGCCTCATCCTTTCCATGCGTGGTCAGAAATAGTAACCATGATACAGTGCAGGAAAGTCCTTAGACACCCGCAAGTCTTCTTCTCAATGAGCAAATACAGAAAATGTCATTGATAAATAAGAAAGAAAAATTGCTACAATCCATTCTGCATTTGTGATACAAAAATAATACTCAATCCAAATCAAATTGGATTGCATTGACATGAAAGATCTGTATGAATTAGTTCTCCACATTTGTGCAGTGTTGACCATAACTCATCAATTCCGATCAAGCATCCTCCATTTCATTTCTAAATTAAAATAATAAATATTAATACTGGTTAACTCAACTGTCTTAACACATTGATGATGTACCATCAAACTGCATGTAACATGGTCTAGAATCAACTTAGTTAAAACAGACGGCTAAGCGATGTATTGGCAATTTTAAAGATGTGTCAGTGCTGGCTAGTGCTATATTCCATGAATTGTGTAATAAATGACATTGATTCTTAATAAGATCGGTATTTTGCACTGTGCTAGTGAGGTGTTCCTGTGTTTCCCCCCCACCCCGCCCACCACCACCACCACCATCAAACACACATTCAATTCATTTCACAACCAATAAGTCCCTTTACTGATGAAAACAAGGTATTAGTGAAAGATCTGGTCTAGTTGTCTGAAGAAAGTTAATGAAATGTCTGGGGGAGGGAAGAGGAGTTAGTTTAAAAACTGATTTAAATATAAAGTGCAATAATTTACAAACATTTTTCTTATTTGTTCAGCAATGTGATCTGTTGAGCTTGCAAACTGAAACAGCAAACTTGCTTGTAGCTTCCATTAAGTTTGCTGCTCAATTATTTTAAAACATTCAACAGCTGGTAAGAAACACTTAATATTGTATTATGTTTTAACTTGCTTTCCTTTGGAGGCAGGGAATTGTCAAGTAAGTATTATCTACAAATTCATAGAAGATAATACATTTTATTAAATTGTAAAATTGTTATACAAAAATTGTTTGATATCTTACGTTTTGGTGTTGGCATGCCTAAAAAGTCTTAGCTTTTAATGGCTTCATATACATATCAGGTTATACCCGGTATCCAGTCAATTGTAACATGTTGTGTATGCTGTTCTACTTCCAAACAAGAGGAAGGTTTTGGGGTAACATTGTGCTTTGTGAAATAGAAAGTACAGTAAAAGTGCAGTAAGCTTTGCGCTGTGATGCAAACAGTTATGATGTATTTAACATTAGGCTGCTTATCATATGGTAAAACTGGAGCTGATACAAATAATTTAGCAAAATCCACCAAAACAAATTAACAATCAGTTTGTAAGCCCAGAAAGGAACTGAACTTTGGCAAAGGCAAGCGTTGCTGCATGAACATTTACAAGATCCCAACTGCTGCCACCCCATTGTTAGCATGCTTCTTTACACCGCATTTTTCATGTTATAAACCTTATTTGATGGAACAAGTTAATACATATGTAAATAACTCAACTAAAGCCACATTATGTTCTTAAAGGGGAATATCATTCAGAAGAAGAGGGGGTGGGAGGGAGAGTAATGCGTCCCACTAGGAGTTTTCAAACAAATTACAGTATTTAAAATATCTCCTCTCTGATATTGAAAGCAGTATTGCCACTTGAGGCTATCTTCAAGCAGCCTTGTGGAAACATGTTGTTTTAGACATCGGCAAAATATGACGTATCTGGCAGATCCATTTGTGAATGTCGTCTATAGCAATAAGCAGGACTTAGCATCCTGGGCTAGGAGGATTATATATGCAATATCCAATTTTCATACTTATCTGCGATAATAGGTGCCTGAAAATAGACTTACAGAGTACACAGTAGAGCCTCTTCATAATGCAATGGTTGAGGGTCTTTATATCCAAACCCACCTTATAACAGGACCATGATTGTCAGTCAGAACTTGCACATTCACTGCTCCCGTTGAAGTCTCTTTCTTTGCGCTGCACATGTGCAACATGCAGGGAGTGATATTGGTGGTAGTCTCATCACCCAAAAGATGGATATTTTTTAGCTTAGAAACTGGCCGCTGTGTGGAAACTGAACAGGCCTATGTACCTCACAACAAAAGCAGCCAAAACCCTCATCGTCACTTCCCGGCTGGGCTATTCCAATGCCCTCCTCGCTGGTCTCCCCAGCTCCACCATACACAAAATTCAACTAATTCAAATCTCTGCTGCCCAGATACTCACCTGCACAGAACTCCATACCCCATCACACCTGTCCTTGCCAAGCTCCACTGGCTCCCAATTACTGGACAGATCGATTTCAAGATCATCTCACTCGTTTTCAAATCCCCTCATGCCCTTGTACCTTTCCGATTTGTTTACCTCTCTACTCCACCACCTGCTGTCTCCGCTCGGCTAGCTTCGGCCTCCTGCTTATCCCTCGTCCCCTCCGCTCCACCATCGGCGGCCGTGCCTTCAGCCTGATACTCTGGAACTCTCTTCCTCAATCCTTCCGCCTTGCTCCCTCCCTCCCCACTTTCATGTCTCGCCTAAAGACTTTCCTTTTCTATTGTGCTTATGGTCACCTCCCCCCTCCCTCTCCCCCTGGCTCGGAGTCAGACTCTGCCATTGTGAAGCTCTCCAGGATGCTACCCTGCATGACGAACACTATATAAATGCAAGTTGTTGTTGTTTTGGCGAGTGAATATTGGATTCCATACTCCAGCTATAAACAAACTCGTGTTAAAGGAAAGCTCATTATAACTGGGTTCTACAGTATCACCAGAGCAGGAATTGGTTGACCAAAATTTTTTAATTGTTGGCCCCCATGAGTTAAAATTAATTAAAATATGAACTACAGTATTTTAAACAATTCTTTTTTAAAAAATTATTCTGACCGGGGTGCTTCCATTAAAAAATATTTCTTCCCAGAGCAATGTTCCCCTTTAATTAGTCAAGTGTGTGACTATTTTGTAACAGCCCTAGTAAACCCCAAAACATTTTGAAATATCAATCAAAACATTAAACTACATCCTTGATGCTGTGACATACCGCATTAGCAATTCGGTATATCCAAAGGTGCTGCTATAGAAATTCTGGTTAAGTATACATGGACACTCTCATAAAGTTAATATATAAATTACAAAAGCTTACATGCTTGTGCATTGCTGTTCATAATAGGAGCTCCTAGTTATTTCCATGTATTTGTTCAAATAGAATGCTTCAAATGATAGCAGTGTACTTTATTAATTGCAGAAAAAAAATAAGTGAATACAGTATTAAGTCGCTGTTATGATAGAGGGTAGCATAATGCAGTAGACCTAGGAAGCATTGACAAAGCTTCCTTTTCTTTTTTTCCTTCCTATTCTATAGGGGCTTAGTACAAAGTTTTCCCATTGATGCCAGGGTATGGGTTTTCTGAATTTGTAAACTGGTGCACTCTGACCTTTTTTTTTTTTTTTTTTGCTGGCATGCTTGAGAAGCATGGTTTTTGCCAAGCAGGAATGTCAATTGAAACTCTAATGAAAGTGCTTGTGCATGAATGCGATTTTCTGATGCATTTTTCCTAATTGTACTAATATTTTCACTTGGCTTTACTTGCTGCTAACAAGGGGATCCAGGTAATTCTCACTAGTTGTCTTGTGTAGGTTATTGATGGTGTTTAACAGTGAACTCATTTGCAATTTAACTTAAAATGTAACTCACTTCCTTAGACTAAAAGTATTTTACGCTTGGAATTAATTGTTCATATTACTTTTGAGTAAACATAATTATTGGGGTCAAAATTCCAGGTGAGGAAACATAAATGGAGTTATCATATTCTTGCATTTCTAATGCATAATGCTGTGCAGTGGGAAATTCCAGAATTGTGGTACTGTTACATTTGGAGGGTGAGAAAAGTTGTAGGCTGGAAAGACTAACAAAGTTTCTGAAGCCATTTCAATCTCAAGCCCATGGGCCCTAGCATCCAGCACAAAGGTCTGGCCTTACGCAATCTTGCTGCCTGAAAAATGGAGTAGCTCTTTCCACTACCATTTTAGGATGTCTTTGGGATGCTCAGTTAAGGAAATGAACCAAGGCGCTAGGCTTTTTCTCCTTTACCCTACGTCATGTATATACTGAAGAACAAAAGAAGTTAAAGCTATCATTAACACATTGAAATGTAATACACATACTTAATAATAATTGGAAAGAAGAATCAAAAGGCATTAACTCCTGCGACACTAACACGTTAGTAGGAGTTGCAACTGGTGTCCTGGCCAACATTCTTCCAGATAAATTAGTCATTCACTTCATGACTGTTTGTTGAACATTGTTGTGTGCAAATTAGTTGTTGTGTTTGCCTATAAATACAGTCAAGTACACTTAATAGAAACTTTTTAAAGCATTTGAGACGTTCTTGATGTTAAGGGCCTATATGAAATACATTAATGTGTCATTACATATTATTAAGATTTTCATTAGTTCCAAACGTGGATCACTTTGAAACTTAACTATCCATTATTACTTCAAGACATAACATAAAGAACTCAAATGATCAGAAGTCTTTGAAAATGTCAGGATCCACCTTGTAACAATCATATTTATCCTTGTGTCTAAAGATTAACATGTATCAAAGTTCCCCAACAAGACTAAGGAAAAAGACCAAACAATATATTTGGTAGAAAACACAAAATACTGCCAGTTAGCTTAACACTGTTGTGAAGAAATGTAGAATTGTATATGAAGTATATTCTACGGAAGTGGTGTCCAGCATGAGTAACAGAAGACAGCACATGACACCACTTCTGTAGAATTCACTAGAGAAGCTGGGATTATTTTTCTCAGAGCAAAGATTAAAGGAAGATTTAATAGAGGTGTTCAAAATGATGAGGGGTTTTGATAGAGTAGATAGGGAGAAACTGTTTCCTCTGGCAGGTAGGTCATGAACCAGAGGGCACAGATTTAAGATAATTGGCAAAAGAACTAGAAGGGAGATGAGGAGAATCTTTTTACCCAGAGAGTTGTTATGGTCTGGAATGCACAGCCCAAAAGGGTGGTGGAAGCAGATTTGATAATAGCTTACAAAAGGAAATTAGTTAGGTTCTTAAAAAGGAAGAATGTACAGGGCTATAGGGTTAAGAGCAGGGGAATGGGACTAGTTGGATAGCTCTTTCAAAGAGCTGGCAAGCCCACGATGGACCGAATGGTCTCCTTCTGTGTTGTAAAACTCTAGGATTCTACAAGAAGTATTAACCATTTGGTCACTTGAAGACTTCGTCTGTCTAGGTATGCAAAAACATTATTTTAGCAATTCTTGATTGGTGATCAAAAAAAAATTCACTACTGAGGGATACTGCTGTGCGCAATTGGCTACCACTTTTCGCCCACAAAATATAATCAGTTGACTTTTCAGTATATTCTCTGAAGCGCTTTGAGACGTCTCAACGGTATGGTAAGGCGCTATATCAAATGCAAGGATTATTATCATTATTTTGTTGGATTCTTCTTTTTTCCTTGTGAGTAGTCCATTGCTTCTACAGTGGAAGGTAGAAGCACACCTGCTGCTCCCCTGCCGCTTGCTCCCAACAGTGCCGATACAGCACTTTGTTGCTGTTTATGGTGAAACTGTTTCACTGACTAACACACACTGGTCTAATGTTGACAAAGATCAATAGCCTCAATGTATCATTGAAACAGTGAGTATGTGCCATTGTACCTCATGTGATATTGTTTCTTTGAATACAAAATATGCTGCCATGGCAGGTGATTAAAATGAAAAGGAATCTGATTTCATTTCATTTACAAAGTAGAATTTTATCTTGGCTGCATTTCAGCGAAAATGAACCATTGATCTTCCAAAGGATATGATTGCAACAGACATACTTGGTTCATGTCATTTTCATTGTGTCTGGCTGTTTGTATTTCAGTCCTATTTGAATGCCTTTGGAAACAAATGCACTCCACGTTTGTTAACAGTCCTCCTGTTGAAATGTATTCTGCAGAATATTGAATTCTGCATAAGTTATGAGATGTAACCTGGCACCAAGTGCAGCATTAAAAACTGGAGAGCAAAGACTCAGTAGTTTTATAACAAATAATATTTCAGTAGAGAGCTTTTTTTAAAGCAGAACTGTAATTGTTACATAGTTATTTTAATAGTGCAGTTTAGAATACACCTTTGTGGGAAAGGTTACAGTCCTCACAATGTCTGATGTATCCTCTATTTGTATAATGATTTTCATTAGTTCACTGGTGGTCACTCTTTCTGCTCCACTTCCCCCACCATCGACAGTCGGGCCTTCAGCCTCTCTTCTCCACCCTTTGGTACTCCATTCCACATTCCCTTAGCCTTGCTACCTCCCATGCCTCCTTCAAGGCACATCTCAAGAACATCCTCTTTGACTGTGCCTTCGGTCACCCTCTTAACCCTACCCTCCTTGCCCTCCACCCCTCCTTATCCTAACCCCCAGCTTGGGTCCAAATCCCTGACTGTCCAGCACCTTGGGATGCCCTCCTGACGTAAAAGGCGCAATAAAATGTAATTTGTTGTTGTAATCCATATAGTGCTAAACCTTTCTCGGAAAATTTACAACTAAAACAAAAGATAATGATCATATTCTTTACAATTACTGTTCAGGTTTATAAAATGGGCATCAACACAAGGCTTTAACAACCTCCACCTTCACAAATATCAAGTGGATTGAGAGGGGAGCCTATTATCATGGTAGAGAATATTAGCTTGTCAATCATTTCTAAATTAGAAAAAAGCCATTGGAACTAAGTCAGGCTGAACTCACTGAAGCAAAATGGAGCCATGGAGAGTTGTTATGGGAGATGATTGTTGTTGACTCCAGTATTGCAGAAAAGGATCAGAAGATAGAACAAAATAGAAAAATAAAAATGCAAAATCTTGATGCAAGCATTGCTTCCCAAGGACCTGTTTTTGGTGCTGAATACCTGAATTATAATTTCTTTCATGTAGAAGACGATAGTATAATTTACTAGTCCAATTACTGTCTTGAAAATATTTTTATTGTTAAGAAATAATTGTTGGGTATGGTTAAATGGATTGTCATCCACGGATGTGAATGCTAGAGTTTTAATCTGAAGATTTCAGAAATCTTTTAACTAAGTCTAACAATTGCTGTCTATCATGATTTCACTGTATAGTTACATTTTATCTGGATTATTTACAGACCACCTGTCAGCAGAGCAGCTCCACAACCAGAGAAACTACAAAAGAATAATATTACCAAGAAGAAGAAGGTGGTGGAGGTAATGTAACACTGATACAATTCTTTAAAAACTCTGTTCTGTAATCACACTAAAAAGTACACTATTGCATTTTTTTAACCCTTTTTTTTTAACTCTGTGCTGGGAGAAGTGAGTTGTATGCTATGGAATCTGTCCATCTATCTGAACATGTTTTACATGATCATTGTCTATTAATCTTTACTGTATTGACCACCAAACCTAATTCAGTCATCCAATTATCGGCTTCTTTTTTNAGAAAACGAAATAGAAACTGTATTCTCTCATTTTAGGTCCCTTGACTGTCGTTTCATTCCCTAAACAGAGTGAGCAAACATTGGTCAAATTATCTCCCCCAATAACAAAACTGAGATTGAGAAATTACCATTTGGGAAGTTACAGGAATGAAGCAATGCCGCCTACCCACCCGCCTACCCGCCGGTGCGCCTGCCTACCCGCCGGTTCACCCGCCTACCCGCCGGTGCGCCGTTTTAGTATATTGTTGCTTAATTCATTGCAGGGATGTGTGATATCATCACAGTTTGTATCACATTGGAACCTCTAACAAACTTAAATGAAAGAAACAGTGCAACCAATAAGACATTTTTGGCAGTTCATTTGACTCTTGGAGAACAAGGGCTTCAATTATTCTAAATTGTCGTAAATACAAATCCCCAGCTACCTAAAATGAAAGAATTTCTGAGAAAAGGTATCTCCAGAACCTTTAAGATGATATTTGTTGAAAAAAAGGTTTAACTTGTATAAGTATTCATTAACAACAAAAAAAATACTTTTTAGATCAGAGCACACTGCATCCTACTGTTTCATACTGTGAGTTTCTAATTTCAACCACATTGTTTAGAAAAGGTAGTGAACAGATAAGTCTGTATCTTCAGGAAGGAAGAGAACATTATCAAGTTTGTCAAACTTCTATTTTGTACACCTCTTGGTTTGATTAAAGAGGGTCCTTGAAATAATAATAATCTTTTCACTTGATATTTTGCCTTATCACGTCGTAAAGACGTCTCAAAATGCTTCACAGGATTTTGCTGTTAAGTCTAGTAATCATATTTGTAGGCAAGCAGCAGGCAATTTGTGCACTGCAGTGTTCCACATAAAACCATAACTTTACAGTCTATTCTGAAGCACTTCGAGACATCTAGAAGACGGGAAAAGTGCTATATCAAATGCAAGGATTATTATTTTATAAAGTGAATATCCAATTTTATCTAGGTTTTGTTGACTAGGACACAGGGAGAAACTACTCTCTTTGAGTAGTGCAGTGGGATCTTTAACATCTACCTGAACTGGCAGATGGGACCTCAGCTTAACATCTTATCAAAAGGACGATTACGGTGTCTAAACTAGAAAATAACAAGTGCCAGGAATAAGTCATATCCCACCGCTTCATCGATATACCATCTCACTGTATTAAAGTCTGTCATACAAGTTCTTCACAGAAGTTGATTTGTCCACTGCAGCTACAAATTTCCAGTCGATTCCACGTCTGCTCACATCCAGCCATGATTTTATAGCTGTTTCATTGCTTAAACTCCGTCCATTAATCCATGCTGAATCTCAATCTGTACTTCTTCTGCATCACATTACACAAACTCCAGCAAAGTTTGCCAGTCTCATCAATCATCTTACTCTCCTTCAAGAATCTTATTTAACTTTTAAACTAATAAAATCTTAAACTATAGCTATCACATGTAAAAATGTACAGAATAGAATGACATACATGCGAACATTTTGCTTTAGGTTTTCAAGATGGATGATAATCTTTGCCCTACATAAATGATTTTATCAAATTAGACGTGTACATAATTAAGCAGAATTCCCACAAACAAATTTCTGAGCTTTAGTTGCACGCATAAGTCATTAATCAAATTGTCATAGGACCATATTTGCAATGGATTTGATGAAGATTTTTTTAAGAATATACACTGCTTTTTCAAAACTTTAATTAGTACATAATTAATTCACAACACTGCATTTCAAACGGGGATATACTCTTGGTTTCTTTCAGTTTGCTATTTTGATAGATAGACCCTGTAACCTTGATTGAAAACTCTTTTCAATATAATCCTAACACCAGCTTTTGATCTTTTGATACATCCCAACATCTGGTTTGCTTTACTCACTGCCACAGAGAATTGTTACGAGAGCTTCAATTTATTGTCAATCAGGATCCCTAGGTTCTTTTCATTTTCCATACATATTATTTTCCCTCCGTTCAATATTAGTCCCTTCCAGGATTTTGTGTCCCCATTTGAAGGACTTTACATTTCTCCATATTGAATTTCATCTGCCACCGATCTGCCCAATTCCCAAGTATGTTCAAATCCTCCTGTAATCCATCATGTTCAGCTTCGCAATCTACCACGTTCATTAACTTGGTGTCATCTGCAAACTTAGCCACGGTGCTTGCGACTCCTAGTTCCAGATCATTTATAAAATTATCAAACAAAAGAGGTCCCAAAACAGATTCTTGTGGAACGCCGCTGGTAACATTTTATCAATCTGATAACATTCCCTGTACCACCACCCACTGGGTTCTTCCGGTTGACTATTTGCATATCCATTGCAATATACTTCCATTGATTCCCGCTTTCTTTACTTTCAGTGCCAGTCTCTCAATAGGAACTGAAATCCAGATATAGCACAATATATTCTGTGAAGCGCTTTGAGACATCTCTGACATGATAAGACACTATATCAAATGCAAGTTATTATTATTACATGCCAAGGTATCATTCCATTGATTAAAAATTCAGTACCAGTGAAACAGTGTCATCCACAAGACTATAGATACATCACATCCACTTTTAGAAACCAGTAGTGCATCTCTGTTTGAAATGGGAAGTTATAAATTAAGTGTGTACTAATTAATTTGTTTTGGAAAAGTGGTTATAAAATTTTGAACAAAAATTTCTAACAACACCTGTCGCAAATAAGTCCTGTGACAATTTGATTAACCACTCATAAATGTAAGTAAAGCTCTGAAATTTGTCCGCAGAAATTCTGTACTCTGGTTATTGCATTTTAGAATTTTTTTTCTAGAGTTCAATCTGTTGTATTTATGTTTTAAAATATTTGCGACATATGCAAACATTTATGAAGATGATTTTAGAGAAACTTTCTAGTTTCTGAATTTGTGATCAGAAGCTTTCAAATGTAAAAAAAAAATGAAGTTTCACATTTTAGGTTCATTGCTGGTTTAGAAATTGATATGACGTATCCAAACATGTAAGGATTCTATCCTGTATGCTTTTAGAATTAAATTATAGACGGTATGTGTTTTCATTTTGATAGACAAGTAAATAGCACTGGAGTGTGCATCAACCTTTAATTCTCTATGTATTTTGATGCCTTTTTCAGGAGATAAGTTGACATGCCATAGTTTTACATTGATGAAATGTTTTAATCTTATTCAGGGGAAGGATTAACATCTCAAATCCTGTGATAATGAATGTATTCGTTCATTTTGGATCTGTACCTCCAGCATTCAAGTCTGCTTCTACTTTTACATTTTAATGCCAATTGAGCCATTAATATCCATATCCATCATTTGCTTTCAGGAACTTGTCTTACAACATGTATTTGGGTACAGAGGATTTGACTGTCGCAACAATCTTCATTATCTCAATGATGGTGCTGATATTGTTTTTCACACAGCTGCTGCTGGCATTGTCCAGAATCTATCAACAGGTACTGAATGTATGATTGTTTAGATGAAGCGATGAATGCAGGCATTTTGTTAACATCCTTGCTCACGACGGAAAGTTCAACTTGTAAATGTTCAAGCCTACAAATCAGATCAGATAAAAACATAAATCTCATGTGTATTTGGTGAAGTTATGAAAGTGCTGAAAAAGCAATGTATTTACATTTATTTATATTTCCTATACCCGTCCATATAAGTTACCTATTTCTTTGCATTGTTGCCCCTTATATGAAAATACTGAATTGGAATTAGCTTCGCAAACAAGTCTTGAATTTTTGTTTCAATAAATATATTGTTTGTTTCTATTGTTGTTAAAAATCGGATTAGGTCTGCAGACTTTTTATGTGGAGCATACAGATGATATCCTCTGTTTAACTGTCAATCAACATCCAAAATACAAAAATGTTGTGGCAACTGGGCAGATAGGTAAGACACGTTACTATTTCACTGTGAACTATTGAATTGTTATTCAGCTTCAAAAAAAATTACTTAAACTGAAATTGTCCACATGGAGTAATGCAATACCGTATACACACTGCATTGCTGTGTGCCCACAGCTGGAATGCAAGAATTATTTTAATTAAAGTAGCTGTAAATTTTTCACAAAACAAATATTGAAAGTCTCAGCCTGACTGCATTTTAATTAGCACCCTCGTCTCTGGTCAGAAGATTGTGGCTTCAAGTCCTTGAGCTCGCAGTCTAGATTGACACCAGTGCAGTGTTGGGGAGTGCTACATTCTCAAAGGTGCTGTGCTTCAGATGAGGCCTTAAACCAAAGTCTCATCTGTCCATTCAATTGGATGTGAAAGAACTCATGATCTTACTGTGTTGGAAAAGACCAGGGAGTTTCTCTTGGTATCCCGAACAACAATCCTCCAGATAAAATTGGTCAAATTAGTTGTGTGACCAGTCAGATGCATTCAGTTCCCCAAATTAGAAAACCAGACCTTGTAGTGCTTCTCTATAAATGCTGAGTTTCCAAGTTCTGAGTATTGGCTTTGCACCCATATTACCAGTCACATGCACCTAGACGCATGCTGTATAATAACTCATATGGGATGGATTTCACTCAATAAATATGTGGGTAGTGATCAATGCACAATATTTTTTTGATGGTGGTAAAGTTTCATCAATGCAAACTCTTTCATCAAGAGTTAATCTGCATTGCCTCGTCTGTTTTTTTAAAAATAAGGACTGAGTGCTTGGCTTTTCAGTGAACATGCGCTCAAATACACACTGCCAATGCTTAGTATACTGAAGCATTTTAGCTGCTTCCTTTGGTCAGGAAGTGCTCTGCAATATACACAAAACAAGTATGGAAAATCCCTAGGCCCATGCTACTTAATCTATATAATTTAGCAGCCTCAAATTGGCCAAGGTGTTAGTGACAAAGGCATCAATTTAAGTTAGCAAACAGGCAAATGGGGAGGTTAGAATGTTAGAATTATTTTCATGCACAAAGTAGTTATGATATGGAATACCCTGCTGGGAGAGGTGGTTGAGGAAGAATCCTATTAACTTTCAAAGGGGGAACGAGATAAATACCTAAAAAGGAGTAAGCTACAAGGGTAAAAGGAAAGGACAAGTATATGAGATTAAATGGATTGTTTTCAAAAAGAGCCAGCATAGACACAGTGGGCTGGATGGCATTCTTCTGTGCTGTCAATTTCTTTGGTTCATCCCTATGGGAAGAAATGGCAAACATGTTAAACTTGTTGACCATTTCTAAACAAAGGGTGCAAGACAACAAAAACGTAAGGTGTTCGTTTCATGGGGGAAATAAAAACTGCTGTTAATTCCTGAGTTCTACCAATAACATTGTGTTTCACCTTTGTTGGTATGGCTTGTGAAGGATATTGACACATCACAGAGATTGTGAACTGAACCAAATAGATGTGACAGTTTCGCTGGTTTTGTGCTGCTGACTTTATGACACTAATAACTAGTGCCACGCCACTGCAGGACAGGGTGACTTCCACTTCTTCAAATGACAGAGTGCCTTAGAATTGCTAGAGTCATAACACAAGCCACTGGTCCCTCATCCTAACATATGAAAAATTAACTTCACATGAATTTTTAGTTCTTCCAAATAAATATTTACCCAGGCAGGACAAGTCTGGATGAAATTTAAATGTCTATTAATCTTTCTCACTTTGTTCCCATTGTTAGCAAAACTAGCATAAAAGGCTGTGGTGGATATTATACTCCAGCCTAGGCTAGCAAACCAGCAGCAAGAAACGTTTGAAAACAAGCCCCTCATGTCATTATCCACAAAGCAGACTGAATCCTAACTTGCAATGGTGACCTGAATTGTTTGAAAGTAGGGTTTCTAGTTTATTGTGCAAGCCAATTATGTGGTTTTGCAATCCTTAGAGATTGCAACTGTGTAACCCCCCCCAAGATTCTTTGCAAATGTACCCTGAAAGTGTACCATGTGGGATGCAGTTTCTGCATGGTCTTTTGTAATAGTCGCCTGCTATATGCAGCAGAATCTCATCCCACCGAGAGGGCCCATTACATTTTGAACATTATGCCGGTGGTGGATTTTATCTTTAAGCTCTGTGTACCTTGATGTCTATCCTCCTCTGGCATTGCCGTACCATCTAGCACTCGTAAGTGCTCATGTTGTAAAAGAGATGCTCTGATTTTGCTGCTGGTTTGCACTCTCTGAAGAGTTATAGTAGCTTGAGTCCTATTTAACCAACTGCCAACGCTTTGTTTCCACCAATGGTTTTCCCTCCTTCCCCCTCGTAGTACCTGTGGCATATCCCAAGACTCCATCCTTGTCCAGCTTGTTTGTCAGACATTCTGAATAAGTACAAATTTCCTGCAGCTGAACGTCAACAAGACAGAAGCCATACTCTTTGGTTCCCATCAACATCTCTCCTCCAGCTCTGACCTCCTCAACCTCCCCATTCTTTCCCGAAGACTTATCGAACCTATACATAACTTTGGTATCAGGTTGGATCTCCAGCTGTCCTTCCTCTCCCGCATTCAATCCCTGATCAATACTGCTTTCCTCTGCCTCTGTCACATTGCCTGTCTCTGACCGTACCTCACATCCAATGCAGCAGAAACTCTCGTCCAACTCCTTGTCATCTCCCACCTCGACTACTCCAGTGTCCTCCTCACCAATCTCTCTAAATGCACTACCCACAAAGTACAATTGATTCAACAACAACAAAATTACATTTGTATAGCCTTTTATGTCAGGAGGATGTCCCAAGGCACTGGATCAGAGTTTTGGACCGGAGCTGGGGATTGGGGATGGTGGAGGGTATGAGGGGAAGGAGATTGATCAAAGGCACGGTCGAAGAGGAGGATCTTGATTCAGAGATTTGCCGCCCGTATACTTACTAAACTCATTACACCGATCTCACCAGGCTCCACTGGCTCCCTATCACAGAATGGATCGATTCAGGATGATTTCAACATGTCTAATTTGCTAAATGTATAGCAATATTAATTTTAACAGTCCGCTTCTTAAAGTAATTTTATTAAGTTTGGAATCATGTTAGTACAGAGTTAAAGCATAACTCATTTAGTTGTGAATAATCAATTTTGATAGAATTTTTATTTAAACAAACATCTTATTTCATGTCTATTTTGCATGTGCAGTTGTCTCTATTCACTTCTGATGCTGCTGCATAATACATCAGCATTGGAGGGTTTAATTTAACTTGGATCAATACCTCCTCATTTGCAATTACTATCTTAATGCAGGTGATATTGCAGACGTATCAGGTAAGGCTGTCAGCTTTCACCCCATTTCTCTTTATTTTGCTTTTGGTTTTGTTTGTGGCATCTTCACCGATCTTGTATCAGTGTGAAATTGTACTATTGTATTTGCTAATAAGGTGATAGAGATATAGCCCATGCTTTTGTGGTCAATTTATTGCAAGGCTTTATAGATAGTATTAGCATAACAAGACAAAGTGTGTGTTTGTTTGTGTGTGTTGTCTGAAATAGTATAGTAGATTTTAATCATTAACTCCAAAGTAGATGCGATCAAATGAATAGAAAGTTTTATGATCTACATAAAATAGCCTCCCAAGTTTTAATTCTTTGTTTTGCTTTAAATTAATTAGATGTTTCTTTTCATTTCAATTAATGCGTTCAATATTTTTGAACAAAAACTAGGAACAACTCCGTCTATTCATGTGTGGGACACCGTAACCAAGCAAACACTTTCTATTCTGCGCTGCACCCATGGTAAAGGCGTCAGCTATGCTAACTTCAGTGCCACTGGGAAGTTGCTGTTATCAGTGGGTGTCGATCCGGACCACACTATCACTATTTGGAGATGGCAAGAAGGTAAATTATAAACTTCTTTAATATTCATCATGCTCCTTTTTATGTCTGATCTTCTCCGTATTAACTAACCAACACACAAACTCCCTGCAGAATTAATTGAAACGGGTATAGACCTCCCCATCCCAATTATATTGAATACTGTGTCGTAAATTGACCAGCAGGGGGCAAATAATATGAAATAGAATTTGATATAGCATGCCGTTGAGACGTCTCAAAGTGCTTTGCAGGATTGACTGTATTTTGTGAGCGAAACGCAGCAGCCAGTTGTTCACAGCAATGTCCCACAATCAGCCGTGGAGTGAGTGGCCAATTTTATTTGAGGGATTTGTTGGCCAGGACACCGGGCGAAACTCCCTTCTCTTTTTGAAAAGTGTCATAGGATTTTTTTTGGCCAGTAGAACAGGCAGACAGAATCTCGGTTAAAAGTCTCATCTGAAGGAAGGGTAAATTGTATATTAAACTGATGGGCAATTTATTTCAAATTGGTTGATAAAGCATCCCAAATCCTCCAATCACAGGAAGGTCATTATGTCCAAGGGGGACATAGGACTTTCATTGTTTAACATGAAAATGTAAAACAAAAAGATATAAAGACTATATATCAATCTTATGGCCTTAGCAGAATACTCGATATAGCCATTGGTCCTGATAGAAGTAGGCTGATCAGCCCAAGTAAGGAGGGGAAGCAGGGATTTAATTTTTAAAGAATTTGTTTATCATACCCAGCAAAATAAGTAATTAACTGACTTGAGAGTGGTCCTGCAACTTTAAATTTAGTGTCAAAATCTTCCAAATTATTGACAAGCTGAATGATGAGATCAAAGGTGTACAATGTGCATAATATTCATGCCATATTTTAAATTTTTAAAAAATTATGTTCATATTTGAACATCTTTCTGTTCTGTCATGATACAGCTACTGTCAAGGACTTGGAAGATCAAATAAACAAATTATGGCAACCAGAAGTGTTACTGAGATGCATGAACCAAGACTTAATGAAGTGCATGACTTCTTTTATTGTAGGTGCCAAAGTTGCCAGCAAAGGTACCCACTCTGAGAGGATTTTTGTGGTCGAATTCCGTCCAGATTCAGACACTCAGTTTGTGTCCGTGGGAGTAAAACATATAAAATTTTGGACCTTGGCTGGTGGAGCTTTACTGTCAAAAAAAGGGATCGTTGGCTCCATAGAAGATGCAAGGATACAGACCATGCTGTCTGTTGCCTTTGGTGCAGTAAGTTGTGTTCAGAGCTCATTTTTACACAAATCAATGTTCAAGTACCTGCTCTGTTTATACATCTGAAAAGCAAAAACATTTTTGATTATCTGTTTCTGACCTCTCCTGGAATAAAGCTTCATCAGGAGCAATGAGCTCCACTTCTCTATGACTGCAATGTATTGTGATTTATGAAAAGTAGCAACCAATATGAGTCCAGAAAACACAAATTGAAGTATCTGACATTTTGTTGGATCTTTGAGAGATGTATAATCTTCCTGTACTACAGTCAAGAAAATGTTCCATTTTGATACTGATACCTGTCTTTGGCAGAGCTGTTAAGATATCTCAACTTTGCACAAGATGAATAATTCACATTTCCTCCCATCCATTTCTGTGCCTGATTTATAGAACAATCTTACGTTCACTGGTGCCATAAATGGAGACGTGTATGTCTGGAGAGATCATATTCTTACTCGAGTTGTAGCAAAAGCTCATACAGGACCTGTTTTTACCATGTACACAACCCTGAGGGATGGCTTGATTGTCACTGGAGGCAAAGAAAGACCGTAAGAAACATTATTATATACACTGTTGGCTTTTCTTGTCCAATAGACTGTCTATGCTGAAGCAGTTGCAATTATTTTAAAAATAATTTTCTGTTATTACAAATATGTTAACATGCTGTGTAACTGTTCTGTTTCGTTCAACTTCCCATTTCTCCAACTGTTTACAATCCCATTCGGTATAGGTTATTTGCAGTATGGAAACTAATGTCAGTTAAAATCTTATTTCCTCCAGTAGGGTATCATAATGTCACATCAATGGCCATTTTTCTGGAACAATAAAAACTACAGCAAATAAGCAATATTTCTGTTTATTTGTTGCAAATCTGCTGCAAGTTATAGTTTATCCTGGAATGCAGTGTGATATTATGAATACATTTCCACATCTGAGGTTCACCACATCTTTGTTATCTGTTCATCTTAAATTGGAGAACATTTAGCATTGTTTGCTTCTGTTTTGTAATGTAAATTAAATATTATTCTGTTGCTGTGACTATATATGTATGTCAGCGCCTTGGGACGTCCTCCCGACGTGAAAGGCGCTATACAAATGTAGAGTTGTTGTTGGAATATACATTCCTCCTAAATTTATTGGATCCACAAATTTAGTGAATTTTGCTAAACATAAGAAATGTATTATCCCTGATACTAAATATTCATACTGAAATGTTGCTTCATTCTAATCCGAGTTGGAACAGTCAATCAAGTCTCAGCCTGGCTTAGTTTGGGGCATTCTTGCCTCTGAGTCAGAAGATCATAGGCTCAAGCCCCGTGTCAGGACTTTGAGCTCATACTCTAGGCTGACCCTCCAGTACAATGCGGGAGGAGTGCTGCTTAGTCAGATGATGTTAACCCGAAGTCCTGTCTGGCTTTTCAATTAGACGTTAAAGATCCCATAACAATGTTCAAAAAGAGAAGGAAGTTTCTCCTAGAACCATCAGAAAATAACTCTGACCAACAATTCCCCTAGAGAAAAAAAAGTTCATTTAGTTTATGGGTGTGTGGTCATTGCTGTAGGTATGGGTATAAATGCCTTTTGTGTTTAATTCCTAAAGGACAAAAGAAGGAGGTGCAGTAAAGCTCTGGGATCAGGAAATGAAGCGTTGCCGAGCGTTTCAGCTGGAGACAGGACAGATGGTGGACTGTGTTCGTTCTGTGTGCAGGGGCAAGGTCAGAACCCCCCCAATTATTTGACTGATGATTTGTTCCAGTGATATCTGAATATGATTTGCATTCAAGTGCATTTAAGCCATTGCTATGAAAAACTGGAAATATGACGACGGAAAGAACTGTGACTTTCTCTATACTGAACTATCTCTTTCCATTTTGTTTTTGAGAGGGTAAATTTCTGTGCTTATCAAAGCTGAAGGTCAATGCTGGAGAATGGAATTTTTCTCTAGTTTTATTGCCCAGTGTCAATCTCAAGCATGGCGTAGGCTAGAAGCAAAAAGCTCACTATTTTCTGCCTCAAAATGCTTCTTGGAAGACTATCACTTTTTGAACCAGAGTGAATTGTTCTATTTCCTCTGTCAGTATATTTCTAGAGTGATATTGTGCCAAAAATATAGATATTCTTTGTTGTGAGTCTAAAGCCTTAGTGAACTGGGTTCATATTGGCCAAACTAATTTTGTTTAGGATCATTGTATCAAGCAGAGAGATATGACATTGTTTAAAAGCGTGAAAATCTACTGTGAAAGTCAGCCATTAGATCAGTTATTTGAATATGTAGTGCATGCACATTGATAGAATTTTAAGAACAAACTTGCCATCTAATGGTAGAGGAGATTTTTTCTAATCTTGATCCTCAAAATTGGTCACTCAAATCCAAGACTGTTTGTGGAATACTGCTGTGCACAATTGGCTGCTGCGTTTCACCCACAAAATACACAGTCAATCCTCTTTACAATGTATTCTGTGAAGCACTTTGAGACGTCTCAAAGGTGTTATAACAAATGTAAGTATTATATTGATACATGTGACTTCAAATCCTGATATTAACAGCACTACTTTTTGATCTATTTTCTTTGGAGTTGATAATTCCCTCACTGTGTCTTGGTCCTTCACCTATGATCAGAGCTTCACCTAGGTTTCTCAATAGAAAAAATCCTAACACACTATTGATTGTTTGGATATAAATAATACTTTTTCAAATAAAAGTGAATTATAAACATATAAGATCTGATTTCAACCTAATAAACTTTGATTTTTGATGACAGGGAAAAATATTGACAGGAACTAAAGATGGCGAGATAATTGAAGTTGGAGAAAAGAATGCAGCATCCAATAGCCTAATTAATGGACATATGGAAGGAGAGATTTGGGGTCTAGCCACACACCCTTCTAAAGACCTCCTAATCTCTGCAAGTGATGATGGAACTATAAGAATCTGGGATCTGGCTGATAAAGTAAGTAGGAAAGTAAAACAGGATACATTCCAAAATAGGTTCAGCACCCAAGATCTGCCATCCCAAATTTCAAACAAACCAGGTTATGTACCATTCCATTCAGAACAATTGCCCATACTTCCGTTTGTGTGTAGTAAGGAAATTCATGTAATTCTTTAGATTTGTTTGAAACAACTAGATTCATTTAAGTTTTTCAGAGATAGAAAAGAGGTAGAAAGGCAAAGTGGTTTAAGATTTCAGAGATAGAAAGAGGTGGAATGGCAAAACCTCTTATAGTTTTCAGACAAGAGTTGCAGAGAACAGGGACATTTTGGCTGAATGCTCAGCCACCGATGATGGAGCTTAAGGAACAATAGCCAGAGTTGGAAGAGCAAACGTCATGGGCTGGGATTTAGAGCAGGGAAGATTGTATAGATGAGGTGGAACCATGGAGGGATTTGAAAACTAGGGCAAGAAGGATATGGGATAATCTCTATATGGAGCTTGTGCAGAAAATAACTTGAAACTTCTGGAGAGTGGAGCCAGGGAAATCAATGAGTGCCAGCAAAAATCTTGAGAATGAAGTATGAATAAGGTGATGATGGGGCTAAAGAGGTAAACTTCCATAGGTTGTTGAAGACGGTCTTTACTTTTTTAAATTTGGGAACAAACAGGCATTTTTTCAGAGGAGCCTTGTGTCTCCTCTGAATACAGTATTAACCATGCATCATATCCATGTCAAGAGAGCAGCCACACAAGTGCCCTGCTCTGTATGCATCTAATCATGCTTATCAGTTAGAAACTCGCAACACACTGCACCACTTTGTCACCTTTGTCACTTTGTCACTATTAAGTAAAATACTAAGCTTTCATTGCACTAAGTTTAGTATTGGTCTAAGCTTTGTATTTTTTTAAAGTGATGATTATGTAAATGATACAGTTGAGTTTTCCCCATTGTAGAAGTTGCTAAACAAAGTGAACCTTGGTCATGGTGCAAAGTGTGCTGCTTACAGCCCTGATGGAGAAATGGTTGCAATTGGCATGAAGAATGGAGAATTTGTTATTCTGCTTGTTAACTCGCTGAAAGTCTGGGGAAAGAAACGAGACCGAAGTGCTGCCATCCAGGATATCAGGTATAAAATACATTGTGGCTTAAAAAAAACTATGTAATGATCTAACAGTGAGTTGATGAAAAAATGAGCCACTTGATGAAACACAAAATCTACTCGGGTTTGGGAGTTTTGACATTTTTTTAAATCAGCCTCTTCATTTTCTATTAGCTCTTGCCAATTCATCAAATTTGTGAAAAAAAGGTTATTGAATATTATTATACATATGTATAACTACTTACTATTACTATGATACTATTGTAAAATGCTTTTCTAAATGTAAATCAACATCAACACCGTTCTTCATTTTCAACTAATATATTTATTGTATTAACTGCAAATAAATACTACACAAATGCCCAGGAGATTTTACATGCACTCAGACATTAATGTCTGATCCTTAACTTGAGAGATCAGACTTCTGTAGACAATGTAGGAAAGACATTTAGTTAGTAAAAAGCCCTGTTATTAGATCTAACCACTTAAGAAATATGCCCTCAAATAATGTACACAATATTGGAACAAATTTGACATTGTAGTACTGTATGATTACTGGGTAATGTGCTTTGAGACGTCTCCTACTGTGAAAGGTGCTCTATAAATATAAATTGTGTAGTACGTTTTCAACTTCTTAGTCCAGTTCATCAATTTTTGCTCAAACAACAAATCCTGTTTACGTAGAATTATAATTAGTTGGCTAATCGCTGGTTAGCCCAAGAGAAATGGAATTCACTGCAGCATAATAATGAGCAATCTACTTAGCTCCCTACAGATTTCCTGAAAGTTGAAGATTGAAGTATTCTTGCCTAAAAGATTAGGGTTATTGTTAAGGATTTTGCTGATGTACAAAGGAGCATTTGTAATATTGCATTTCTGATAAAGGAAGTATTGCTAGCAGCATTATGAACTTGGTACTTTAAACATTTTTTGAAAATGTATATTTGAGATATTTTAATATTTTTTCTCCTCACCAAGTGTGGCAATACATTTCTAAATGCTTAATGAATGGGAGATATTTAGTAAAAAGCCTCCTGAAGCAATGCTTTGAAGTAAGCACCAAAGCAGCAGCATGAGTGATAGGATGTGAGTTTGCATAAGTGACCTTTACGCTGCTGGGTTGTCATTTGCATAGTTGTGTGAAGTAGCTGAGTGCAGGATATGTGATTTCCTATGACGGAAGAATATCAGGTAGAGAGTCATCCACCACTCTCTTTGTTACTCAACTCCCAGCAGTAATCTTCAGAGAATACACTAGGAACATCCTACCTATTAAAAAAACATTTGCTGCATGATAGTGTTGAACATTACCTTGTTGGCATCTCAGTAATGAGGGAAACTCGCAATTCATGCCATTTTTCAGTTTTTTTAAATTTTAAGTGGTGATTAAAAACCCTAACTCACTGAAAAGGGCAAAATACACTGCCTTTAACAGCAAGTTTTGCCCACTGTCAATTCACTTTACAGTATATCCTGTGAAGCATCTTAAAGGCATCTCAACAACATGAAAAGGCTCTATATCAAATGTAAGGATTATTATTATAGTTTTCCACTGTAAAACCATTTCTATGAATTGCTCTTTCTGTGTGTTTAGGTTTAGCCCTGATTCCAGATACCTGGCTGTGGGTTCTAGAGAGAATACTGTTGATTTTTATGATCTGACACAAGGACCTACCTTAAACAGAACAGGATACTGCAAAGACATCCCTAGTTTTGTTATCCAGATGGATTTCTCAGCTGACAGCAAATACATTCAGGTAGGTGTTTTTTTAAATTAGGGTGAAAAATTTGGGAGTCCTGTAGCTCAGTGGTTAGAGCACTCACTTTGCAAGCAAGAGACCTGAGTTCAATTCCAGGCAGAGGGCGAAACCTTGGGCAAGTTTCCTTACTCCACACAGAGCCTAATAATAATCCCTCCAAAACAAAAAAACAATAATAAATTGGTCATTTTCAATCTACGACTGTTTGTGGGACATTGCTGTGCGCAATTGGCTGCCGCATTCGCCCACAAATATAGTCAATTCACTTTGCAGTGTGTTCTGTGAAGCGCTTTGGGACGTCCTCCCGACGTGAAAAGCGCTATATCAAATGCAAGGATTATTATTAGTAGTAGTAATTCAGGCATTTTGCAGCACTGTAGTGTGTAAAACAAATATTAAAACATACATATTATCTCTATTTTGCCAGCAAAATAAGATTATGTTCCCTTGCACATCTAAGCATTTTGCCAACTTAAATATATCTAAGGAAAAGGAAGGCAAACTGGGTTTTTTTCTGTTCTTTCCTTAAGTGCATCTCCTGTTTCTACTGAGGAGTGGAATCAATTGCAACAAGTAAAGCACAGGCATGCAAGACAGTCCTGAAAGTTCTCATTGTGGAGGGTGTTGGGAGGTTGGTGAAATTAATAGGAGGGGAGAAAATAATTGTATGCAACCACTACTTGGGTGACATTGCTTCTGCCCTGCACTGGGATATACTGATCACTAAAATAGTCTCAAATCACAGTTTAAAAAAAATCTTGCATCAGTAAAGAATCTTTCTATCTACAGGTATCAATGGGTGTCTACAAGCGTCAGGTGCATGAGGTTCCATCAGGAAAGCAAGTAACTGACCAGACTCAGATTGAGAAGATCACATGGGCTACATGGACCAGGTTACTGAAAGTTATTCAAAGAATTCATGAGTTACTGTTAAAAGTTGTGCATTGGTTTACAAATTGAAAGACCTGATGATCGAGGTCTGTGATATCACAGAAATGGTGGTCAAATTTTTTTCTAACTGACACTGAATCCAAGAGGAAAGAGCCATGAAAAGGTTTTGCTTATACAATTTACATTTTTATAGCGCCTTCCACATCAGGAGTATGTCCCAAAGCACATATGAATAAATTGGACAAGTTGCAGGAACACCCCTGCAGAGAAAATCTTACATAGGCCTCTTAACTTCGCACTAGCACACCAATTATTAGTTATCTAATGAGTGGCATTTCACCTGATCATTGAGCAAAACCCTCTGCTTGACATACCATTCAATAAAATACAAAATCACATTTATAAAGTGCCTTTCACATTGGGAGGATGTCCCATGGCACTAGACAGTTAGCAATTTAGACCCGAGCAGGGGGTTGGGATCAGGGAGGGTGGAGGGTAGTAGGGTGACTTAAGGTGCAGTCGAAGAGAAGGGTCTTGAGGCATGCCTTGAAAGAGGCAAGGGAGGGAGTGGAGGGACGGTAGGATGGAGTTCCAAAGGGTGAGGGCAGAGAGACTGAAGGCCCAATTGCCGATGGTGGGATAGGCTGAACAGGGGAAGTGGTGCAGGCCACAGCCTGCTGAGCGGAGGGAGCGGACAGGTTGATATGGGGTTAGCAGTTCACAGAAGTAGGAAGGAACAAGGCCATGGAGGGCCTTGAAGGAGAGGACAGGAGTTTGTACTCTATCCTCTGGGGGATGGGGAGCCAGTGGAGCTGGGTGAGTCTGGGGGTGATAGGGTTACAGGGCCCGGTCTTCATTCATACAGATATTTGACCAAATATTTCATATTTATGATTATTGCTACTAAAGTAAAATGGTGTGCCAAATGGGTCACAAAAACATGTTAGTGTGTCCCACAGCTAAATATCTACTCAATTGTTAAGAATTAGTTGAGAGATTTTAACAAGCACATGAAAAAAAGTTGGAAGTGCTTTGAGATGCCCTTCCGACTTGTATTGCAAAACATTTACAACTTAAGAATTCAGTGGAGGCTTTTCTCTAACCACACGGTACATTTCTTACAGAAAAATGGGTGGTTGGCCCAAAGATGCCAAAACACGTGGGGGTAACTGCACATAACCTTTGAAATAATTCTGTACATACTTTTCCTTAGTTTTCTTTTTCTTGCTTTAGAAGCTTCCATATTAAATAAATGAGTGTAATATCTGTGATACTTGATTATTCTAACTGTTATACATTCAAATTTGTGCTTTTCCTTGAGATTAGGAAAATTGTTGCCTGTTATGGGGGGCAGTAGGAAGTTTGGGAAGATCTTCCACAAAGTAGCATTTAGGAACGAGCTTCAGGACGCCACAAAAAACATCCATTTTGTCGGTCATTTAAATTAAGTCAAAGGAGCAAGAAAGAGTAACAGTTTAGTGAGCACCATGATCAGCTACATTGCGTAATATTATACATGTGTTGTATCACTGCACATTTAGATGTTCCCACACTGTACAATTTGTGCTGCTTCATGCAGAACGTAAATGATCTCAAGCATGCTGCTGGTATCAGGAAGGGAATAGAAAGGTCAAGACTTGCTTACTCAGCTGGATGTTTCCTCTGCTAGTTCCAAATGCGACTCTTTGGCTCACATTGTGGAATCCAAAGAGGGCCCTGTGGAGGAATGTGCCACAGATGTAGTGTCCTCCTGCTGCTTGACACAGCACTTACCTGCTTTGACTTCAGATCCAGTCTATGTTTGCACTGTTCCTTCCTGTGAGAACTATTGACATGTTTTTTCATCATATACTTTGGACTTGGAGACATAGAGCAGCCATTCAAATTATGGACTTATAATGCAATAAGCAATTGTTTGTAAATTGCATTATTTGGGTTTGATTCTTGATCATAAACTGAACGTTTCCACATAGGAGTGCATTGCTGTTAACATTAACAAAGCTAATCAAACACTAGGATTACACCTTTGTCAACATAAGTTATTGTAACTTTGTACAGGTCCATTTGTGAGGCCACATTTAGAAATATTAGTAACAGTTGTCTAACTCAGAAGCAGGAGTGTTAGCAGAGGAGCCACCCTACTACAACATTTGACACTGATATTATGACATGCAAAATATTTGCTAGGTTTTTTTTAAATTTCTTGCATCTAATTTTATTTGTCTTTCTGTGGAAATAAATAAGAAATATATATTGCAGAGTATCACTGGTGTGTAATAATACATCCACTTAATGTAGAAATGTACTTGTTGCTAATCTATTGAAATCTTGGAAAGTTCAACTACTGATGTGCTTTTTCCCCTCCCTCTTCGAATAGTATTCTGGGAGACGAGGTGCTGGGTATTTGGCCACGAAATGCTGAAAAAGCAGATGTTAACTGTGCCTGCGTATCTCATGCTGGATTAAACATAGTGACTGGGGATGACTTTGGTTTGGTGAAGCTTTTCGACTTTCCTTGCACAGAAAAATATGTAAGTAAATATGTTAAAGCTTGTACCACATTATAAAATACTATCTTATACAGATGTTGTGAATAAAATATTGCAAATTGATTGTATAAAATGATTATGCTGTTTAATACAGCAGTTGTATTTCAATACAACCTGACCCTCGTTCCTCTAATCCACATATTCAAAAAAAAATGTTTTATTTGTATTTTTAAATTACAAATTTATAATTATTGATTATAGCCTAAGATGTGTTTGGCTTCTGGAAAATATTTAATGTTTTTTAAAATTTTATTTTCTTTGTATTGACATTTATAATCTGTATTTTGCATTTATGTATTTATTTTGCTTTTCTCCCTCCTTCAAAGCCTTCCTCTTCAACTGTGCCTTCGGTTACCCTCCTACCCCCAGCCTCCCTGCCCTCCACCCTTCCTGATCCCAACCCCCAGCTCGGGTGCCCACCTTGACTGATTTTGGGACAGCCTCCCAATGTGCTATACAAATGTAATTTGTTGTTGTTGTTTCAATAGGCCAAACACAAGCGCTATTTTGGCCATTCCGCTCATGTGACCAATGTGCGTTTTTCCCATGATGACAAGTTTGTTGTGAGTGCAGGTGGTGACGACTGCAGGTAAGATGCTCATAGAGAACAATATAGACCTATAACATTAATAAAATCCTGAAAGTTAATAATCAAAAGCATTAATTGTTTCCAGTATATTTGTCTGGCGATGCCTTTGAAGGAAGAATTAAATGGTCAGAAGATTGAACCCTGAATGACTCCAGAAGAACTTGGCTGCTATAAAGCAAAAATACTTAAAAGGTGCATATATAAAAAGATTTTTGTGTAAGTGTTGTACAAGTTTCCACAATACGTACATTGTGATTGTGAAGCTTGTGATGTGAAGGTCACTGAGGATGCTGAAGATGAAATCAGTTATACAGTCTGCATTAGGACAATAGCTAATGCCTTAGTCAACTTGTGACTTTTTAAAGAATAGTACAGTTTGACTTAGATTAGCTAGTCAAAAAAAGTCACCTGAAGAAGGTGCTTTCAAAATTACCTCCTCTAAAGTGAATCTTACCAGGTGTTTACATATTGCAGCAAATGCACACCTCAAAATGACTCTCAAAATGTCCTGTGAACCTAATACACTGTGGGGGCAATTATCACAGAGTGATCTTCAAACCGGTTTGTTGCCGACATAATGCAATATCACTCTGCTACAAGAGATATGCTGCAGAATTTAGTCCTAATATAAGTTTACATGTACATTTTTTTTCAGGGTAGAACGTACTAAGGAATTTTACTAGTATATAAGCTTTAAAAGGTTTACATTATTCTTCAAGGTGCAAAAGGCTTAATCTGTTTAATAAATTCATCAGCACTAGAAACTTTATGAACTACGGTTACCTGAAATTAACAGGAAATTCACCTGTGTTGGTAGTTAATGCCCGTTATATTGAGAACGTAGTAAAATTTAGGGTGATTGTGTCACAGCGCATTGAACATTGTCTAATTCCACTGCAGTAGATAAAGGTTTCCTTTTTTTTGTGAATATAAATTTCAGCCCAGTGTGAATCAAGGTTGTACCAGGGTAGTCTTGTAAGAGTCCTGGCTCAGTGGTGACCTGGGTTCGATTGCCGGCAGGGTGAAACCTTGGGCAAAATTTCCTTGCCCCACACAGCTAATAATAATCCCTCAAGAAAAAAAACAATAATAATTTGGTCACTCAATCCACAACTGTTTGTGGGACACTGCTGTGCGCAATTGGCTGCCGAGTTCCACCCACAAAATAGTCGATTCACTTTCCAGTATATTCTGTGAAGCGCTTTGAGACGTCTAGAAAACATGAAAAACGCTATATCAAATACAAGGATTACTATTATTTAGGGTGTAGAACAAGTAGCTTCGACAGCAACTTGCATTCATATAACGCCCTTCACATAGGGCTGCCTCCTGGAGCGCTTAATCCTTGCTCTCTCCCTCCCTCTTTGTCAAACTATACTCTTAGTCAATTATGTTTCCATTCATGTAATATGTTGGGAGAAACATGATGCTTTGATTGTTTGTGAGTTGATGTGCACTTTGTGAATGTTTCACATGTGTGACTCATTAAGTGTAGATTGACTCTCAAACGCGCAAAAGTAGTAAGATCATTTCAAAACATCCACAGAATTGGGAGTGTGGGGATCCTGGCAGATAATCGCAATAACTGATGTTGGATTTTTTTCTCACAATTTTCTAATTAAGATAGCCTTTCTGCACTGTGCCAAAACACGCATTCACCTTCCAAAACAATACATTTTTTGAGAGTACATACTAGTATTAACATATTTGTAGAAATGCAGTCATAGATTTTAATGTAGGTTTTTCAAACAATTAGTGTCAGTCTGTACTCAGAAGGTTTCCTCTAACAATTTCCCCCATATGGTATATATATCATGCACTAGACTGGTTTGTCCTATTAACCACTTTATATTGCCACACCTTATATATTTCACTGTCCTGAACTCAAGAAGCATGGCCATCTGACTTGTGAAGTACATTGCAAATGTGCCTTTGTAGAATACTCCACGTGATTACCTTTAATTGTTTTTTTTTCAAGTGTAAACCATTACTTCCATATGGTGCTATACATTTTAAATGTATAAAATATAATTAGGGCTATTTATAACCTTGTTTGAATTGTCAGCTACCAGAAGCATATGAAATGGTGAATTACTGCAATCATTATTTTGTTGTAGTTCTGCTCTTTGGTTTCCATCTTTTAGAAATTATTGAATCTGTCAAATTACTGTAACATTTGGGATCTGTGAATTACTTGGTGTTGTATTTGACAACTGAGCAGCGAATGTATTGGTTATTGGAACGGCTTTTTTCACTTCTGGGTGGATAGCAAATATTTACTATGTTTATTACGCTATACAAAGTGCTAGTACTAGAAGTGCTTTTGCATGAAGTCTGTTTTAAGACCTGACTATAGAACTGTATGGGAATTTTTGTCTAAGACATGTACATTCTACATCTGTAAAATTAAACTTGAATTAGTGGAGTCACACCCAAGTCTTCTCATTTAGTCACTGTATCTTCATTCAGTACCTGGTGTACATGGAGTGCTAATTAGAGCAACAATCTAATATCTTTCAGCATCTTTGGTGGACTACTGCATTTCAGCTTTACAAATATTTAAATCTCTTCATTCAAGAAATGTTGCCTTATAATGTTCTAAATGTGGATGTTGATTTAACGATGGGTGTCCAATTCAGCAAGCCAAAGCTCACTATGCAGTTTAACTACTGGCATGGTTTCGTATCTGTCATATTGTACTTCAAGGAAATCTTATTTATAGTACAGTAGTAGCATCTTTGAATATCAAAGTTTATATTACACTCTGCTTAATTCTGTACATTTTGTCTTTTATGTTAGTAATTTGGGAAATTGCAGAGGTTTTTTTTGCCCAAAGAACATATAGATTCAGTTTGTATTGGCAACACAAATAGAATAAAACTGATAGCAATACTGCAAGTATCCTTGGGACTAAGTTGAAGGTACTGTCACATAAGGATAGAAAATGCAAGTGTATTACATTTTTTGATTTAAAATTCTTATAATTTTTATATTTAATTTTTAAATATTGTAAATATTTATATAATTTGTACATTTTACACATTGTAATATAATGTATAGTAGTAAACTGCTTAATGCATGAATTTATTTTTAAAAATACAAAAATCATAGTTGTATGGTTTGGAATGATATTGTACAATTAATGTGGCTATTGCAACATTGAATTCAATCAGAATGTGTGTGTGTGATCAGTTTCTTTTGATATGCTATTGAAATTAATTTTTAATGATTTGGTATAAAAATCTTAAGATCAATGTAGCCAATTACAAAACAATTGCCATTGAAGTTGTCACTGTCAATTATAAGGGTTAAAAGGAAATGCAAAACATGTTGATGTATGACTGATAGAAAAATAAAGGATTTCTATTCATTGAATGCTGTGAATGCTTTGTTGCAGATGAGTAACAATTTTATGAACCCAGTGGCAAGACTTACACATCAGCACATTTATTTTAAATTACAGTAACTACAAAAACTATCTGCACACATATTGTAAAAAATGAAAATTACAAAGTCCATCTTTTGTCTGTAAGCTTTATTGGTTCTCAATTATTTCACAATGCATTCCTCAGACAAAAGCCTGAGCCAAATTCATTTACAACTCAATGTTCATTCTCACATTTTTGCATGACAATGCTTCAAATTTCCAAGTTACATTTATTTGCAGCATTAGATATTCAGTCCACAGATACCAGAAGTACAGATAATGTTGCTATAAGTGTGCTACTACACAGATGAAAGTTTGCGATGAGTTGTATGCTTATGCTGCGATTATATCTATTTTGCAACTTTCAGTGCCATGGATCCATCTTTAAAAATCAGACAACTCTGACCTATCAAGCACTGTGGAGCTGCTGAAATTAACTCCTTAGCTTAGTGAAACACTAACTGGGCAATTGTTAAAACAGTAAAATCTTAATACAGCAAAGAATTTTAGTCTGAAAAGCAAGACCTCAATTTTCACTACAATGGTACAGTAAATATTTTTATCGCATGGGGTTAGAATTCTGCATCAACCTCACAGCATAGATTCTACAAACAAGTGTGCAAACTGTGGGGAAAAATACCAAAAGCTCCAACTGCACCATGATTTGTTTTCACATAGTAAGACACTACCCCTGACAAGTGCAATGTACAGCTTCTCAAATCTTTAATACAAACCAGTGTTCTCTGTACCAAACTAGATAAATAAACTGAATTCTAATTTCTTACACATTAGTATTTGATATCATGGATCATGAAATAGAGACTGCAGAAAAACAATGTTTCCAAAAGCTAAGTTACTACCAAATGGAGAAGATTTGCAAATTACACTGCAGTTCCAAGGCTATTTTGTTCTTCGCAACCCTCCCTGTGACAATTCAAGAGACAGCCCAGCAGACAACATGCCATGAAGCTTAGATCAGGTGCCTTTACTCTGGTTTACGCTTTAGTCCAGGAACTTTAGCTTGAATCCTAAATTTAAAAAAAGTTAAGAATCATCATACAGGTTTTATTATTCTAATCTACAAGTTTCTCATTTTGTCACCCACCCCTTTTTCTACTGAAAGCATCAACTCATGGCATTGATCACTCTTCAATACCTTGCCCAAAGCAACTTCTTGATGATACTTTCTGGAAGTCCATACTGGAGTCCCTCAACCCACCACCTTTATAAATGTGCTTTTGGTCACCTCTCTCCCCCCACCCCCAGCTCAAGCTTCTAACTGATTCTGTGCATCACTCACAACATTCTTCCAATGTAACAGGTGCTACATAAATTTAAAATGGTTGTATAGGAATCCAGACTGATTTGTCAGCAGACTCTATAGCCACATGACAATATGTAATGAGGGAGAGGAAAAGGCATAGACAATTCCAATCCGGTTTTCATCTGAAGTCTATGTGAGGCAAAGGAACAATTCTTCATCACTGTAAAAGGCAAACAACCCACATTCTAATTAAATGTTCTCAGAGTTTGCATACTTACTTAGCAGTGACCTCTTTAACTTGCTTGCTGACCATCCCTATGTAATGATCTATCTGAGTCTGAAGAAACAAAAACAGATTATAAAGTATTAACAGGCATCAATAGAATGATTTAAAAGAGTATCACTTTTAAAGTATGCTTATTGAATTTATGACTAAAGCACTCTGCTAAAATATGCCACGTACCTGGTGTCTTTCATAAACAACAGGGATGCTGAAAACTGCTACCAGAGCTGAAAAAAAAAAGTGTTGGATGAAAAACCACCATCTTTTATCCAAAATTCAGTTAATACATCTAACAGTGAATCCTATGAAGCATCTGATCAATGTAAACGGTACTGCACTATATCAAAGGGAAGGATTTTTACTATTATAATAAATAAAAGTATAACAGAATGTTTCTTCCTCTTCCCCCTCCAAAAGCACACTGTCCTTTTGTCCTTTTTATGATTCACCCTCAGGCAGATGGATACTGCTGCTTTTCCTTTAACAATCTGCTAGAGGCATGCTCCAATGGTGCAAGATAGGATCCCTCGCAGCACATTGTTAGTTAGATCTCTCGGGAGTCAGGATACAAACGTCAGTCAAGAACATTTGATTTTCAGTAGACTGAACACCACGATGAAGAGGGATTTATTGCCTAATTAGTACTCAAATCAAGAGTTCAATTTGCACAGCAACCTCTCTCTCAAATCAGACAGACAGTTTGGTAAAAGAGGAGGGCTGTGAGGTAAATTCCCCCAAAGAAATTATTTTCCTTTTGGTTAGTTTTCAATTCTTCAATTGAATTGATGACAGAATAATAACTAATGAACTGAAATTGTTCTGCGACAGACTTTAGCCCCAAACTACAATATAGCCTTGTGCCCTGCACTGAGCAGGATTTGAAAAGCAGAATCTAGCTTGGAGTTTTGCAACCACAAGAAAACCTACAGTCTAAGTAAATCCATAAATGGGCCTCATCATTTCAAAACACTTCACAACTAATTACTGTCAAGTAATTACTTGTGAAGCGTTTTGAAACAAGGCCAAATCATGGACATGGTTGACTTTTCATAAGCAAAATGAAGCACACCCGAGTGCCAGGCACTGGGGTCCAGAACGCCAAATATTTAATGCTCTCAACCAAGTGAAGATACCCAAGGGCACCTCCACTTCCTAGCATCAAGTGTGTAAAACCCAGCTGTAATGCCATTTCTAAATAGATCCATACAATTTCCTCCTTTCCCATTCCCTGCTCAAACCCTCCATTTGAATTGATCTCCTGCTCATTCCTCGCTCCCTCTAATGGCACACTCATTCCCAAATTCCATTCACCTTGCTTCTTCTCCTTTTGCCTCCAAAATCAGTCTCTTTGAAGTGGTTCAACACATTCATCCTTTGTGATAGGAGCTGAGTGCAATTGTTACAAATAAGTAAAAGGATGTTGGAGGTTTTCCCCCTGTAGGTTTTTTTTATTCAAATCTAGCAATACAGAAGTTTACAGTATAGAAAGAGGCCATTCAGCCCAATGATACTGTAACTATTTGGAGTTATCTAAATAAATGCACCAAGCACAAGAATATTTTTAGGGAGTAATGTGAAATCAGGAACACACTAATATACAAGATTCAAACACTTACCTATTATCAGCAGGGTCAGTCCATTAAACAAGGCACCAACATATGTGAGCAGCCACATCAGCACTGAAAACTAATGGCACAAAAACATTCTCATTATTAGAATTCTTACCAGGCAGCATCTACATTTAAAGATCTATTTGAGATGTTAAACCAAGGACCCCTCTGCCTGTTCTGATGGACGTTAAAGATCCCATGGCACTATTCGAAAAAAAGGGCGTTTCTCCCAGTGTCCTAGACATCAATCCCCAAGATAAACCTGGTCACTCACTCAGTGGGTGATTGTGTACAATTGGCCGCCAAGTTTCACAAAATAGTCAATCTACTTTACAGTAAGGCACTTTGAAAGGTCTCAATGACATGATAAGTCATTATATCAAATGCAGATTAAATTAAAATGACCCCAAAATTTATAGCACCAACAATCTTGTATGTTAAAACCTTTAATAAAAAGTAAATTCTAGTATAAAATCTTACTATATAACTAACAATTTTAAATAAGCTACATAAAAATTATATAACTGGACCTACTAATAGAGGAGAGAAACCCTGAAAACTACAGCCAATTTGTGCTTGGTTTTCAAAAACACGTTATGCCAAACAATGCATGAAATATATACATATATATATAATTCAGTCTCTAAGATAAACCAGCAAGGAAATTTTGACCAAACCCCAAATCTCTCACCCCAAACCCTAACCACCCTGCATAATAAGTTTCATTGCATGAACATAAAATGACATGACCCATCCTTAAAAGACGGGTTTTTTCAGATTTGCCAATATCTTATAATCAGACTTGATGGGCTAATAATGGTCTGCTCCTGTTCTATTATGCTGTATGCAAAACTTCTGATTAAAAGGAAGACATTTTCAAATAAACCAAGACCTGCAATTAAAATATAGGCCAAAGGAAAACAAGTTATTCATTTAGAACCCAAAATAGTTTATTTTTCACATTGTGCCACAATCTGTAGTGCCAACAATTTTAAATGGTATTACAGACCAGGCCAAAAATGGTCAGTTTTCAGAGCAACAAGCCAGACAACAGTTCACCAACGATTAGCATTGTGTGCAGTACTAAAGGAATAATCATCTTGAATTGCATCGAAAAGCTGACAGGAAATGTACAAATTGTTGCAACTTGACCATAAACAGCTGTTATCCCAGTAAAAAGTGAAGTGGTTTTGAAATCATGAAGTTTTAAGAAGTCTGCAGTAGCTTATGTCCTATCGTGTCTACCGGCTCCTCATCTCTCAATGATATGTTCAAAGTCCTCCTCCTTGCATATAAATCCCTTCACACCTCAGCAACGCTCCACACCTCCCTGATCTTCTTTAACACACTCCTCTGACCAGCTAACATAAGCTTTCTGCGGTTGCCCTGCACATCACCATCGGTGGTCAAGCCTTCAGTCACTACACCCCTTACTTCTGGAAGTTCCTACCTCTATATAAAAGCAAGTTGTTTTTGATACATCCTGGATAAACGCTGCATTGATTCTATCAATGAAGAACTCAAAAATTATTTTATATCTGATCTTTGTCCACACCTGAAACATTTGTATTTTAATACAAATTAAATCTCGAGTTCATAGCCATTGCACGCATAGTTGATCTTAAAACACTTCAAATTAATTCTACAGTTAAAACTGTCTCAGTAAATTAAATCAGATTAAAGATAATACACAATGGATTTCACCCAGGAAAATAACTGTGGAGCTACACGATTTCTTGTTTTTATGATTTACCAGGATTAGAGAGAACTGTGTTACAGTTCACTATTGTTTCCAAATATGGCAGTCTTCCCAGCGTTTAATAAGGTCACAGATATTTCAAAATCTTATCCAATGGCCTACATAAAAGCCTTTTGCAACACGAGGGCTATGTGTTGTGCAAGATTCTGTCCATGAAACAAATTCTGCTGCAACATACTAAGTGATCGGATTATTCACCCAGCTGGCATTTTGCCCACATTACTCAAAACAGCCTGATTCCCCCAAGACAGTAGTTTGCCTTCCAATCAAAGAATGATTTGCTATTTCTCTAAACTGGCAAAACAAGGTAGACTATTTAAAATAAGCTTAACTGGAGTTCACGCTTTTCCAGTAGTTTCACCTTCATGATGTTATCAAATCATTATAATTTCTGAAGCCAAATTGTATTTTAGGCATTTATAAATGTTTAAATGTGTAATAAATAGATCTACAGTGGAAAGGCTTCTGCAATCATAAAAAATCAACCTAATTACCACCAGCCAACATAAATGTTTAACAAAGCAAGAGTTGAACTTAATTCAGTTTTAACATAAAATGTCATTTGCTACATTAAAACAATCAGCATTTTCATCATTATATTAGAGCATTTTACATTGTAGAGTAAGATGTATTCAGCCACATTATTCCTCTAAAATTCCCTTGTGTGTTAGATCAAAAATACAGACACTTCATTAATTTAGTTAAAATTAGAGGCAATCACCTAGTTACACCTTTCACTAAAAAAATGCTGAAGTGTTGAAACAGCTGCAAATTAAAATTGTGTTAAGCATTTGTAGTATTTATTGTATTACACTTTCAATATAATCCCTTCACTTTATCACAACAGAAGTGATTTTTTAAATAAAATCAGTAAGCTTTTTTTATTTAAACAAATTCACACTTAATCTGTTCATAAATTACCACTTTCTATCATGACATCTTTTTGAAACTATTTACTTTATGGTAAACTTCTACATTCCTAAACTGAAAGCAGCTCACATTCGAGACTGCATTGTGTGCAACTTTTCCAAAAATAGTAATCTTTTCTTGGACAAGCTAAAAATTCCCAAGGCTTGTATTGTCGGAAGGTTTTGAAAATCATTTGGATTATAATGCACCTACATTTACAAGTCTTTTTCTAAAAAGCATTTTAATATAATTTTTTTTGAATTTATGTATACATAAAGGTTAAACAGCAACCAGGCATTTAATTAAAATGCTGATTCTAGTAGGCCACTAGAAGCAATTTGGTCATATTTGGCATTACTGGTATTAGAGATTGCTTCATGCTTGCAGTCTTTGAAAGCTAAATGTAAGGTGTGATATTGCACTAGGTTATCTACCTACATAAACAGCATTTCGAACTGGGAGATAACAGAACAGGATTATACCAAATATTGGTGGTGATTGCTATAAAAAGGCCAATTCTGATTTTCTTTGACCCTTGGAAAATACCATTGTTGGTGCGGTGCCACTGTTTTTAAAGCAGGTCAATAGGTTGGAAATTTCAGGATTTCTGAAGAGTATCTTTGTGACATTCCCTTTCACCTCCTAGAACCGAGAAGCTTCAGCTCAACAATTCTGCCATGTGAAGGTACTATTGATCAAAGGCATTATATACAAAGGCAAACATCTCTTCTAGAGCATTAATTTTAGGGGGTGAATGAGGGAAGAAAAATAAGGGGGAAAATGGTCAGCCTAAAGAGCTCCCCCTCTTTGTCCTCTACAGCAACCAAGTATCACAGCCCTTACTTGACCTAACTTGAGCAAAACGACTTGCTACTCATTTTAAAATAATAATAATAATCCTTGCATTTGATGCAGTGCCTTATCGAGTCTTCGAGAAATAAGAAAAAAATAAGCTAAAGACTGAAAAAAATGAGTCAGCCAGTTTGACGGGTCTACTAATGCACTCCAACATCGCAGATAATGCATTAAAATGGAATGCAAAAATTTCCGTCTCTCGGGTCGTCAGGTTGGTGCCAATGTTCCTTCCTGAGAGCTGCACACAATACACCAGAAGTACCACTGACATTGGCCATTTTTAGCACCAGTTTATGCTGGCAGTGTACTACACTTCCAGGCCACAGACCATCATGTTAAAAGCAAAACTGGCAACCCAGAAAAGCTCTCATTATTGCCCGTGGATGGAAGATAAAAACTTGCCTTCAGAGAATCCACCAGATCCTGAACAAGAAACAACCGTCTGAGTTCAGTAAGCACACGGTTGACATGGCCCAACCCAACGTCACTGTACTTATGTATCAGATCTTCCGACACAGTAACATCAGTCTCCAGGCAACCCCTGAAAATAGGAACAATGAAGAGACCAGTTCATATAGTGTATACAGTGCTACATCAGCACAGCAAATACCTTAAATTGTAACTGTAACCCCCAAAAGGAAAACTGACACTAAATATTCTTACGCTTACCTAAGACCCAAAGAAGAAATGAGATCAGAAGTGTCATAGTGCCATTTCTAATGTTTAGTAATAGTTTCAATTGTATGGACAATCAATTAAATGTCTTAGGGTAACTTCAGACCAGAAATAGAAGGGAGTCCAAGGCACTGCTGATGACGGACCAGCAATCTTATGGGTAGGACTTGAGGTGCAAGTCAATCACCTGGGGAAGGGATTCTTCCCACTCGGCTCCAGGGAGAGAGTGCACATTCTATTCCAAAAACATGAATTTCCATGTGTAGGTGGTATGCATGGAACTCCATTTGAAATGGGTACTCTTTAATCATTGAGATAAGTTTCCACATGTGTCAATGACACTTGGCTGATTCCCCAAAAATTAGAAAACAGCAATAAAAGCAGAACAAATCATCAGAGGGTCTACCTTTTTTACAAGTGGGCATGACCAATTAATGTAACTTCGCGCCTTGCAAAAATTCTTCCATTATTAAATGCGCTAAACAGATTAAATTCTAATATAAACCAACCCATTGTTGTGCCAACACAAAGAAACACTTACTGCGTCAAGTGCTTTCTGAAGGTTTTCTCCTTCACTGAAATTACTAATTAACAATGTATTCATATTACACTGCAAAACACATGCCCCATTGTATGCTAGTCCTCATGCAGTGTAAGGGTACTTACTTGAATGGGTGGCCATCATCAGACTTCTGCACTGCTTGCAAAACACCTTTGTATATCCTGAAGCTAACAGTGACTGAAAGCAATGCCAGAGCAAGATACGCAATTACACTGACAATGCTGAAAATTGTCATGGAGAGCAGTAAGAAAAGGCTGGCACCAAACACCAATCCAGTCTTCTTAATATCACGCCAGTAGATTAAGTCCACAACTGTCAGGAAGGAAAGAAAAAAAGATCACACCACAAATACAGTAGATATTTTATTTACACTCAATTATGGATTCATTTGTCAGTTAGCTAGAGATATCTACAGATAGCAAATGTAAATCACAAGGAATTCTATTAGGAAAACATTTTCAATTTAATTTGTAAAGCATAATATTCTCTCAACACCATCCGGAAGAGCTTGGTATTTAGAAAAGAAATGGCTGTTACACTCGGGACCATTTTCCTGCATCACATGCACAGCTCAACAGTCATTCTAACAATAACTATAATATAAACCTTGCAATCAGTAAAACGATCAGTGACTAGAATAGAGGCCTAATAAAAATACCCGGGCAAAAATTAATCAATCTGAATCGTTAATTGTTAAGCCTGAATGTTAATGTCTGAATTATCACTCTAAATCGATTGTCAATTACACATTTCCACACTCTTCTTTTACTCCCTTCCCACTCCCCCCCAACTATTCCCCGTCCAAAAAAAATTCAAACCGAAGTCAATGAAGTTCTTGCATCAGAAAATCCCATTTGGTCTTCGGTCACCGTTTCATTCTGAGCGGCAGCCATTTCCCCAGACTACATTACTTGCCAGTAAAGACCCTTCCTAATGCTTCCAGTAAGAATCGGAGCATATAAATGAGCTACCACACACGAAGCCTTAACCATGTACCAACCACCCTTTCCCACCTGCTTTAGCTAACATACTTATAATTGTGCTACAATTGTATCTAAACAAACAAATCAGACAGTACAGCTTTCAAGACAAAACATCCAGTTTCATAGGGTATTGATAGATAATTCTGTGAAATATGTGGCAGTCCATTTTTCCCCTCGTCAGATCAATTACACAACTTGGTTTATCCATTCGCATTAACTAGTTGGTTACTGAATTTTAGTACGATGTGTAGTTTCAATATATTTTGAAAAATTTCAAAGCTTAATTTTGCTATCTTGAATCACGTGTTAATAGAATCTTACATGAAATTAGTAAAAATAAACTTTTGCTTTAACTAGGAGTAAATATTTTAATCATAAGAAACCCAGCAGTGGTCCACGACAAAACCCGGCGTTTTGCTGAGCCAAGCAGGGAGTAGAATACTTGCCCAAAATTAGCCTTATTGTATGAACTCTGAACCTAATGGAACATTTTTTAATTAAAAAATTAACCACATTGTGTTTATCCTGCATTTTCCCTTCCTATTATGTGTTCTTTATATTTCAAGTTTAATTTTACATTTTCCACTCACTAATCTATCTTAGCTTTTCTGATAAGATATACTTGATCTTTCGCCCACAAATATACGGTCAATTCACTTTATAGTATATTCTGTGAGATTTGAGATATCTAGAAGATGTGAAAAGCGCTATATCAAATGCAAGGATTATTATATTATTATTATATATTATCTTAGCTAAAAGGCCGAGAAGCGATTCTAACTTCTAACCTTTTAACTTTTATCAGTTCACATTTCAAAGATTGAGGTAACCAGTTGGTTATTCAAATATGTAGTAGGAGAAAATGGCAAGGTATTTAGTTTTTTTTAATTTATGTCCCTATTATCCAAATTTACAAACTAGTTCACTGACTATACTAGGTCGACGTGAAGAAAATTGTATGTGCAATTTTTCCAGGCTAATTCAGGAGCCGAGAAGAACCCGACTGTGCTGTCAGAGACTCATTTTCATCTGTCGCTCTGTCTTCTCAAACACACACACACCACACACGCCTAAATACCCATTAGAAAACCATAAAACGAGTAGTAAAACATAGCTTTTTGGTGGATAAAATATCCAGTCCAGAATCACTTAATAAAACCGTTACATAAAAATAAAATAACAAGACCACTGCATATAATTATTACAGACACGATTTGGTATGCATACACTGGCATCTGTTATGCTTAAAAATAGAATCAATATAAGCTTCAACTTGTGTCCTGATCTCATCCAATTACCAGCTCCCTGCTTTTAACCAATCTCTTATCTGAAACTTCGCTGCAGGGTTTTTTTTGCGAAGTAAAAAGCATGCTTAATGCTGCAGTTCTTTTGTGCAGTATGCACCAAATCTCTTTTACATAAATCTTCCAGTACATACACTCTGACCTCACCAGCCCTTTTCCTTCAATGTAATCATTTCTACTTAAGTTGAAAGCTTTCAATGTTTAAAAAAAAACAAGCGGAGAAGAGACACGCTGCTGAGATTACCGAGGCAAGAACATTTAAATTCAGACCACTGAAATTGAAAGAAAAAATGACAAACCCATTTTGGCATCCATCTTGAGGCTGCTCACATGCACCGAGCTCTTGTACAGCTGATTACACCCCTTTTACTTCCTGCTAGGTCGCTTAGAGGTTAAATTACATACGTAGCTCGCTGCTGTGTCACTGCACAAATAGTAGCTCCCTGTTTCAATGCAGCAACTGACTGCGCAACTGAAATCTATGGTATAAGCCAATGACATCTACACTGTTAAAAGCTGTTGAAATCTAATGAAGTCTTCATCTTATTCGTAGATGTAATGTGTGCTGGAACCCTAGCCGTAAAGCAAGCCTACATTACTTTACTGTTAATATTTTTCTACGTTTTAGACTAGTATTCAATCTAACCCTTTTTTAAAAAACAAAATTACTGTGCAAAATTCTTTTATCAGCTAGAAAATGTAACCGGGCTCAACAAAGGACAGGCTTCTCTTAAAAAAAACTACAGATTGCTTAAACTTCAAAAAAATAATACATTCAATGGTTATTGCGCTCAAGGCTAGTTTTATTCATCTGTATGACTGTACTTCAAGGGAGCTTAATCAAAGGTACATTAAATTTGAAAAAACTATTTCTGATGCGTGTGATGATAAGTGTGCATTGTAAGTCATCTGGCATTAGTTGTGTGCAAATATAATTATAAAAAGACTACCTTTCTTTATAGAGTCCGTCAACAATGATCATCAATTAGCAGAAATTAGATTTTTTCAGAAACTACTGTTTTTTTTAAAAACTGGGTAGGAAAATGAATAGAGCTTTAAAGATGACAGTCATTTTAGCAATTTGCAGTCCAATGAACCTAAAGACTATTACTAATTCCAAATTCCACAACGGTGAATCAAACAAACAAAAAAAAGGTTTCAACTCAAATACTGCAGAAGACACTGCAATAGTACTGAAGTGTAAAATAGAACTTCTAGAGGTTCACATTTGGTGGAAAGAAAACGGACACCAGTACAAGCTCGCAACTTCAGTTGAAAAGATGAAAAGGATTTTAAAAAGGCAAATACCCTTGTGCCTCCAGCTGCTGCTCCAGTGCTCCATTTTACGACAAAAGCAATCCAACCCACAGCTGTTGTTATCAATTATACATTCTAGTCTAAAGACAGCAATTGGAGATCCTTCAAATGCGCAGCCCCTGGGGATTAGTACATTGAGAGGTTTTTAACCAAAAGTCTGCAGTCCAGCCAGGTCAGCTGTATGGGATTGTAGAAGGATTGCTGAAAGAATGAAGTCATCTGACAGCTTTAATACTGGGCGTGGGTTGTACTGGTGCAATGCAATCCGTCACCAAGCCACTAATACTGGAACAGACATGTTACTCAGTTCAATCTTCTTATCACCAGCTGAACAATAAGTTGCTTGAAAATAAGTTAATGTACACCAACAAAGTGATTCCTGATATTCTCAAACGTACCCCAAAAACACTAAATTCACAAGCACAGAATTTATCCTTCATATATTGTAAACTAGAGTGTCCCTGGACTCCTGCTCAAATACATCAATCATCAAAATGTGAGCAAACATTTTCTAGCAGGTGGCAGTAACCTATCCAATCTCTTGTCTAGAAAAAGGACCTGAGTGAAAAGAACACTTCTCTTTTGTAATGGGACCTATTACAGGAACATTTAAATACTCATCCTCATATCTATAGACGATCTTAAATAAATCTATAACTTTTTATCCCCAGTAATTTAATAACTAAATATTATTTCATATAGTAAGATATTTGAATGTTCTTCATACAATTTCCATTTTGAATGTATCTGCTGATAGGCTGTTTTAGCAGTAGTCCACAGGCAACAATGAGGTGACCCACTTTAATTTTGGGGGATGAGGAAGGAATATCAACTAGGATACCAGAAGAAATCAGAAGAGTTGCTAAACTAGCATTACTAAAGAAAGAGCCACTCGAACTTTAAACTGTAAGAAGATCAGCAAAAGTCAATGGTCTCAATTGACTCCAAACTCTCGAGTAACAGCTCATAGACCTCAGCAAAACAGACCATGAGTTCAGTAGGAACTACTTGCTCAATTTCTCTCAATTCCTTCCTTCTGCTTTTCCAATTTTTCTTCTCATTAGCTGTTTAGAATAATCCATAGCAATGGAGGCAGGGGTTACTTTTTAAGATTAATAAAATTATTTCAAACTACAGTGATAAAAGTGATTTCACGGAGTATGAGTAAACCTCACCATCATTAGCCGATTCAGGCAGAGTGGAGAGAAGAAAAAACCATGTCAGTTATTTTAAATTAAATGCAACCTCAAGGTATTTAGAAAGATAGGAATTTAAACTCTAGTCATCTAATCAGCAACAGATCTGTATTCAAGCCAAAGTATTTAACAGCTTGGTCCTGACCTCAGCACGATTGTTATTTGTTCTGCCTCATTTAAATTGCAAATAGATACTCCAGCTAATTGCATTACATTTAAGAAAGTTTACCTGTAGTTTTCTTTGATGAACAGTAAACATAAAAAAAATTCACACCATTCAACAACCAAAATCATAAATCACTTTTTAGCACATAAAATGGTGCTCTAAGCAAACAAATGTAAACACCTAACCAATGCAGGTAAGGTGGATCAAACCTTTTTTTAAAAAATAAATTAAAAAATAAAAGTGAAATAAAAACCAATGAAGCGAAGAAGGAAATTTTAAGCTGAATAGGAAGAACTTACTTCAGACTTGTCTCATTTCTATAATAATGAATAATCCATAGTATTTT